AAGAACTCTCGAGGCACTCTGGATTAATTCCAGAAATCCGAAAATGAACCGCAGGGAAGAATGTCTCATTATCACGCGTGATATAGAGCAGTATATAAGACTGCTGTTCTGATGGGAGGGGCACATTATACTTCCATGTGGTTTCTGTGCAGTTGGTCTCTACGTGACATACTTAGTGGGAACCTCATAGAAAGCGGTGAGTGTGCAAAGCTGTGTTCAACGTGATTGAAATCTTGGTTTGGAGTTTCTTTGTTTGGTTATGGAGGCGTCTGGCCGAGTGGATTGCTGTCAACTTGACCTTTCCAGGCTCTGAGGAAGGCGAAATCCGCCGAAACGTCAGCTTATTCGTGAATGAAGAATAATAACACCTCGCGTTTGCCCAACAAAAATACGAAGAATTATACAGAGTACATTTATTTCGCAAAAGACGTTCACATTTCTAGTCTGAGCTCGAACAAACCTGACTCTACCACCATCTACCCCTTTTGTGGCCCTAATGTTCTTTTCACGTTTATCCTAACCGAAAAAAAAAATACGTTACATGGCTACAAACCGGGATAGCTGTCCAATGAGGCGCTCTATCGGAGTATATCCTTGTCAGCAACTGCGCAATCATGCATGTTCTTTTTAATAGATTCGCAACGACGCTTAATTTCTCGTGGCGCGACTACAGGCGACGCCGGTTCCTTTTTTGCCCAACTCGCCGCGACCCGTATTTAGGTCACACCGGCTCCAATGCCTCGCACTTTGAAAGCTACGCCCAGAAAAATAAACTCCTCTGTGCGGTCTTTTGCTACCAGGATTTATGAGGTTGTGTAAATTCTGCAAGGAATGTTATGATGTTTACCTCTGTTTTGATTTGAGGAATTTCCCGTCTCCACTGCATTGTGCGACTTGCCTATCAGGCTAATAAAAGCACGAAGTAAAATAATTAACGCTCGTTTTTCTTCTCACTTTAAACGAAAAGTTGGACAACGGGAATACCGGCGTGACGCTTGAACTCCCATACTCATCGGTTTCAGCTTCAATCACAAATATAGCTCTGGATTTTCAGGCCTAAATATCGGTGTTAATTTAGGAGACGGTATTAAGACGTGCTTGAATCCTCTGGAACGAAGCTGTAGAGAAATGGAGCGGTTCTGTGGTCGAACGAACCACACGGCTTGCCTTTCTGTACGGGTGTTTAACGATTCGCTAACCAGCATTTGCGAATGTGAACCTAATTACCGATATAATAAGATTACAAAACAGTGCGAAGGTAAGAAGACTTTTAAAATATAGAACTTTCCGATATATATGTGCGTTCGTGCACATATATATACATATATATGTCCATATACATTCGCAAGCGTATGCATAGATATTGATGAGTGTTCCGAAAATCGACATAACTGCGACCCAGCATCGTCAACGTGTGTCAACGAAGACGGTGGATATAGATGCGAATGCTTGGAAGGATATGAGGGTACTGGAGGTATCTGTGTCGGTGAGCAAAGGTTTTCGTGAAAAAGGATTAGGAGAAACTGAAAATGCATGGGCCTGGAAAATAGAAAACTTCTTTGCAGATATCGATGAGTGTGAGCGCGGAGTAGCAGGCTGTCATAGCATGGCGATATGCATTAATCAACCAGGCAGCTGCGGGTGTAAGTGCATCCACGGATTCACTGGTGATGGAACGCAGTGCAATGGTTCGTTTACTGACCAGGAATAATCGTTGACGTGTATCGTGCTTATCACCTGTTATCTTAGTAATCGTTGGATGGTTCGAGCGAGCGCTACCAAAGCTTCCATATGTTCTTGATGTGTTCAAAAGTAACCCAGTGGGTTCTACTCGCATCCAGAGCATTACATTTTCTTCTAGGTCCTTCTGAAAAAGTCTGATCATCAGATCGCTGGTCTTCCTGCAGTGTGCTTAACACCATTTGAGCTATTCCGCAGCGCTTGTCGTTATAGTCCATCATGTGTGCGCACCACGTGATTTCCGACATCTTGGCATACGCAACGTTAAATCTGAGCGTTGAACTCTGACATAGATCGGAAATTCGTGTTCTCACTCTTATTTGCATGAAACGGGATAGTTTCAGCATGGCCCTCTCGATGGCGAATTTATTAGTGCGCTGTAGTGCTTGCCTCTGTTTACGTTGTGGCCAAGTTTCCAAAGCGTACATTGAGCTCTGAAAACTAGCAGAATCAAAAGCTTAAACAAAGCGTTAGTGCTTTTTGTCTTTTTCACCACATATTGAGTGCCATCCTCCCAACGGTTCACCGCCTCATCGTGGCTGGGGAGTGTTCCTCGGTGTCGGACTGCGATGTACAGCAGGTGGATTCGTCCCTCCGGCTGGGTCTCCCAAGCTGAGAAGGAGTCCGATGTTTCCATCAGTAAGTCTAGTTAAGAGTAAACCAATACAAGGATCCAGCACCGTTTTGGTACCAAAGTTGCATGGTGGTAAACCTTCCTCTGATCCACAAGGGCTGCGACTGCCTGTCGTGGTGACGACCTGGGGCAAACTTTGGCCAGGCTGACCTCGAGATTCCAACGAACCACAATGACTTAACCAGCAAATCTCCGAAAAGTGGTGATTGTGATGGGGCCCGCACAACTAGTGATGACGGGCCGTTCAAGTATCAAGTAATTAAGTATTGAGTGCCATTATAAGCTCCCTGAACCCCTCTTCGAATGTCATTCACTTCTGCGGATATAACACTCATCATGTTGGCCTTCGGCCAAAATGCACGCACACACAGCATATACCTTAATTGAGCCTGAATTGTATAAAAGGATAAAGGATAAGCTCTCGGCATTGATCAATCCCTGAGGGATGTGCCATGAATTCGACTTCATCAAGCATCGTCAGAGATAATTGAATACATATCTCGCCTTTGCATTGAATCGGTGGCATGCTGATGTATCCAGCCAGTGCTAATATCCTCCCAGACAAGTCTGCTAGCAATATCCCAACTCCAGAAGGATGCAAGGTCTGTTGAGCCTAAGAGCGGGATCGCACTCATGTGTATTGTAGGGCGCTTCGGACCACTGCGACATACGTGCCGTGACTGGTGTAACACGAAGGAATCTATTTATCATGAACACCGTTCTCTTGAGATTCATGCGTAGACCAGACCTTCCGCATTTGTTGTCGAAATCGTCCACTTTTCACTCTGGTTAATGTTTGACATTAATGCGTTCGACGATATGAATGACGTCATCATCAAACAAACATCCATCAACAAAGCGAAAGTAGTATAGTTGCCAATCATTTTTTTCACTTCCATCTTTTTTCATCAGGTTTCGTTGGCGTTTTCGAGAGTGCTTGTAAATAATCTTAGTGAAATAGTATCTGTTAGTCAAAACGATGTCTCAAAGGCAATGTTGCAGAGTAGAAAAATTCTTTTGAATTTGTTGTATAGCCCATGAAAAGCTTTGTAGAGATATGAGTGAAGACACTAAAGTCGTGCAGAGCATCCAGGGGCACTCATGTGTCAACTGAATGGAAAGTGTTTTTTAAGTCTACAGACAAACCGATGTCCTGTGTCTCGAGATACTTCAGTGAATTTCACACTGAATGCTTTTTGGAACCCAGTTTGCTCATACGGCTCTTCATCGTCTGGTGTTCTGTCAGTCCTGTTGAGAATGACTCGAATGGGGAGGTTATAGACGGCGTACAAAAGTGGATTTCCGTTGTTTGACGATGTCGTGTACTTTTCCCTTTATGTATAACAATGCAATGTTTTCGGGTTTCAGTTGGTTGGAACCTTCGCATTTTGACAGCTGAGGTGTGAGGAGTTAATTGTTGAATTATGTGACTTTCCCTTTTTCCTGCGAAAACGAAAGAATCTCGCTCAGAGGCGGCGGTAATCTTATCTACAGAATATTTTAAGATTCTTGTTTACTCTTACGTCATCTGTTTTTTAATTGTGTTTGCCATGAAAGATCTTGGTTATCTCTCTAACTGTTCAAATTCCGTCCAATGTTTGCTTTCAGATGGTCTCCTGGGCCAAACGTAGATGTTGAGATCGTGAAGTGGTGCCCTTACAGAAAGTATAGTATATTTCGTTGAAATTCTTTAAATTCATTTAAAACTATCCAGAACTAGTCTTTGTTACAACTTAATATCAGGACGTAGACAACAAGGATTGCTTAGATGATCGAGGTAACGAAGATTGTCAAATCCATTGTCGGTCCACTTCTTTTAATTTGAAAACGTTCAATTCGAGTTGCTGCTCAAAGGAGTCGAAGTTGATGACCAAACTGGAGTTCACCGATCAGCAACGTTCCCAACTCCTCTATTATCTACTTTCGAGGAGGAGTTCTTCTTTAGGTGTCATGAAAGGTGTTTAGTAGCCGAAGTCTTTTCATATCGGGCCTTTCAGATAGCGCTATACTTCACCTTGTAAGCCTGCATCATCAAGTCGGTAATCATTGTAGTCATTCGCTTAAACAGGCTTGAATGGCCCTGAGATTTAATGTAAATCTTTCTACTTAATTGTGCGGTATCTCCGACTTTCTTGAGGGTTTTTCGGGATCAACATAATGAGTCCCATTGTTTCTAAAGCTTCTAAAGCAGCTCTTTCATTGTATCTTGGATGGTTTGCAAATCTTCCCTAGAATATATTAGGAGTTTACATGTCGAAATTTACTCCTAAGCACTCCCCTCATACTTCCCAGTAACTCGAGGCGAGGCTTTGACTGAACTGACCGTCAGGATACAACCAGTATTCGATATAACCGTATACGTGCATGTTTGCAAAGCAAGGTATCAGTCCAGCACAGTAAAACAGGAAGTCCATTTCCCGAATTCATGTACAAAGTCGCTTTTGGTCCACGTTATGGTCCTATTTACCACTAATCACAACCTTGTGACAAAACAGCTCAAGGTCTTTCTTTAAGGGAAATCCATCGTGGTAAGAGACCTATGTAACATTTTCTTAATGCATAATGTATCTTCTATTTTTATTCCACCTTCTAGGCACTACCCTTATACTCTCTTAATGTTATAGCGATGGGTCAAAGGTCATCAAACACCTGTACCCCAGAATGGCAACGTTTGTGTAGGTTGGAGAATAAAAAGTGTCATGTGGACGACGAGGATGTGCCACAGTGCGGATCTTGCATAGAAGATCACCATCCGATCAATGGCACCTGTCAACGTAAGCTCTCCTATTCCACATTTCTTAGATCTTAACAGAAGCACCACACACTGGCTTCTGATCTTACAATCTTAACATAAACTTCATATTTGGTTCGTAGAATTCAATAATAAGATTCGGAAAAATTTTCGAAGACTACTAAAGAGTTATTCGGCTGTCAAATTGGTGCGAAATCAAATGTGTTCGACGTTCAGATAAAGTACATGCCATATTACCGTTAGTTTGTTACTTCGAGTGAGTTTCAGCGGTGCAGAACGGTGGAAATTGTGCTGATCCGGCAAAGAACAACTGCGATGTGAACGCTGAGTGCATTGACGTCCACCCTGGACATCACTTCTGTACCTGCAAAGTTGGCTACATCGGTGACGGAATGCGATGTGACGGTAGGTGATGGCCACGCATGGCATACCGACTTTGTCGGTACTGTACTTCCACTGCTCCACCTAGTAATTACTTTGACTACTTATCAAACACCTTAAATTACTGCGTTAAACCAGCAGTGTTTTCTATAACAGGCGCGATTCCCATGAACTGTTGACAATTTGCTGGAACGGCAAACCCATTTACGACTTTTTAATGTGGTTTACGGTGTTAGGTGATAAATTCCAGAAGAATATCAGCAAGGTGACCTACTTCAGCGTTGTTCTACTTTGTTCCAATCTACTCTAAGTATCCGTAGCATTGCATGTCTTGTATTTCCTCATCGCTCCCTACTAGCACCGCGTTTCTTCACGCTCATCTGTTTCGTGCTGTGTTTCGACGAGTGTTAACTGGCTGCAATCTACCGACAATCTACCAATCCATCTATGAGAGCTCGTTGGGATCGCTCGAGTTTGCTAGCAATTCCCGGTGCACCTGAACACTATCCATCTGGGAACTGATATATGTCAGAAAGGCTGCGTGTGTTTTTCGTTAAAGGAACTTTCATATTGCCATTATATTTATTACATAAAGCGAAAAGGTTTTCTGAAATTCAAGACCGTTCGATTCACTTTTTGTTTTTTGAGAACAAATGGTTCTTGAAATGCATTTTATTATAATGTATAAATTTTCATTTACTGCCCATTATTTCTTCATGGCAGGAGAGCATGTGAAATACAATCGCAGTGATGAAATATTAACAAAGCCCAGACCACAGGCTAGACTCGAACCCGCGATTACTTTTTTCAAGGATTCACGTCTTACCAACTGCACCATCGACGCACTTGCTCTGCCTTTCTCCAAGCCATTTTTTTTTACCCTAAAGGTGACAGCAACAATCATCCGTTAACCTGGATGATCTCAGGAGCATAAATCGGCGTTGAATCCAGCTAAACTGAGGATGCAGTCGAAATCACAATGTATAACCTTTTATTTACTGTCCATTACTTGACCTGGGATCTGAGTTTTGCAGATATCTCAGCATTATAGTGGTTCTATTTCATATGATACCCTGCCGGTGAAAATAATGGTCAGTCAATAAAAAGTTATACATTGTGATTTCGACAGTAGCCTTAGCTTAACTTTGTTCAATGATGATTTTTGCTCGCAAAATCATTTCCCTTGACCGGTGATTGCTAGTGGTACCGCTAGAGTAACAAAAGAAAAACTGACCCAGAGATAGGGAAGGGCTGAGTGGTGCAATGACACGTGGGCCGTCGGTAAGGGTAATCTTACGTTCGAATCTGGTCTGAGGTTAGCGTTCCGCAAATATCTCATATCAGTATGGTTAACCATGAGGTAAATAACCATAACGCTCTTTAAGGTTTTAGAGCGGGGAGTAAAAGCGGCTTTGAGGTACATGTGGATTGGTAGCATAGGCTCATCTTGGTGTACTGTTCCACCTACGCAATCGTATTCCATGCTCGCGCGTTTTTGCTTAGCGTTATGCAAATGATACGGTACACTTCGATTCTGCCAAACGTTTGCAATTACTTGGCAAAAATTGCTTTAAAGACGTGAAACACGATTCATGAACGTTTGTATCGAAGAATCCAACGTTCACTAAATTAACACTATCAGGCTGTACCCACAGTTCCCAATGAGATACCCGTTCGTACTTCCTCGCCAAAAGTGTTTAAGATATCAGCCTTCGTACCAAATCTTTGATGTTATTCCTGCCTCTCAATAGAGCAGTGTTCATCGTTTTACTGCATCATGGTGTAATTGTAAACAAGAACTCTACTAGGTCTCGTTTGAACTACTGCATGATCGATAGATTACAAGTGCTGCAATGATTCAAATGACATAGGCTGAATCACTCTTACACTCATGTTGTTGTACTTGAAATGGAACAAACAGTGATAGATAGAAGGCACCAGGTTGCAATCGTTTTAGCACTACTACTGATTTTAACTTATTACTTATTGCCTACTCTTTTTAACGGCAGGGTATACATTGTGAAATATAACTTCAATGATGCTGAGCTATTTGCAAAACTCCGGACCGCAGGTGTCTCCGCTGGGGAACGAACGCACTATCGTCCTTTCCGGGGAGTGGCACATTCACCACCACACCACGCGGGTCCTTCGTTTTGCCTGTCTCTCAGCTAGTTCTATCGATCTTTTGTCATCAGTAATCACCCGTCTACATTCACTACTACCGATATTCTTTTGCGGTTTTCAGGACCAAACTGCCATTTGGATGCTGAGCTTTGCCATTCGAATGCTGAATGCATGACTGCCGGCAACTGCAAATGCCGTGATGGTTTCGAAGGAGATGGCATCCATAACTGTACGCGTGAGTTGGCAATCTCTCTAGTAGAGAAAATTGCGCCAAAGGCACGGATTTCTCCGCTAAATACGAGTAATCGCTGTTTACAAAATTCACGGAGAATAACGAAACATTATGTCTATGTTCCCTGTTGAGTTCGTGTGGTCCACAATTTTGGCCAAACCTACTTTTTTTTAGGGGTAGCAGTATGCTTGATTCCTTTACTCGTTCATCTAACAGATAATAGTTTTTTTGTAGTCATGGTTTTTTAAATAATATATGCTGTGTGGCACAGATAGGTAGAAAACACTGAGAGAAACGCAGAGCAAGGGCCTCCGTGGCGAAGTGTGTAATGCGCGAGTCCCCGCAAAGGGAAATCGTGGTTCGATTTGGCCCGAGGTCCAAGTTTCGCGAATATCTCGGTATCATTGTGGTTGCCTTCGCATGTATCAAAATCGCATGGTGGCAAATCACCCTCTGATCCACAAGGGCTGCAACTACCCGTGGTGGTGTAAACCTGGGGCGGATTTTGGCCAGGCTGACCTCGGAATTCCACGGAACCACAATGGCTTAACCGGCAAATCTCCAAAAAATGGTGATTATGCTGGGACCCGCAAAATGAGGACGGGCCGTTCAAGTATCAAGTATCAAGTAAATTCATGCAGTATTTATTATTTTAAGAATTCAATGTAATTAATAAAGTCATCAGTCCAATTCAATTAACTGCAATTTTCAGAAATCACTTCGTTGTCGTCTATGGTTACGTCATCCGTTGTCGCTTCAACTGCTTCTAAACCAACAGAGGAGTCGTTGACAACCGGCGGGAAAAAGGCTGCTGAATTGATTGCTGGTGAGACGAAAATGGCAACCACCACAGTTGGCACCGCAGCAACGTTGAGTTATGGTAAGGGTAGAACCGATTTCACAACGGTGATCAGCGGATCTCAGAGCTCCGCCGTTTCTTCACCAAGCACCCCCGTTCACCACGGTATGAACCACACTCCTACACATTCTAGCACCACCGATCTTTCATTACTTGATCGTGAGTCAAGCACCGTACTTGGTCGCACAGCAAGTATTCATAAAGATGTAACTACAACGATAGATGGTAACTCTGCACAGTTGATAAGGCACGTCACTACTGATCAAACGATCAACACTCATTTCAATGATTATTGGTCAACGACCGAGCTCACCACTTGGGCTGTCGTCGAACCAGACAATTCATCTGGGATTTCGTCATCAACGTCTTCAGCAACAGAACAAGACTTGTCTACCTTACCAGCATGGCCGAACACTTCTGTTGAAAACAAATTATCTTCTTCAAGGAATTCCTTATGGGAGTCTAGTCTACCGACGGTGACCCCACTTGAAATTTCGTCTTTAAAATCTAGTTCTCGATCCGATTTCAGCCTTAAAATGATGACCAGCTACGATAATTTGACCACGGACTGGCCAGGAAGCTCTGTTACAGATAGTTCAACCAGAAAGCCAGAAGATCAATTCGTTATCTCTGGTGATCAAGTACCTTCTGTAGTCACTTCATCAACTGCTGAGCAGGTTACTGTTGAACAAAATTTGCAGTCCGCTACTTCGGCTTTTGAACCTACTATAACTCAAAAAATGGGTGTTTCACCTTCTTCCACACTGAGTAAATTATCGGAGGACACTACGGCAACGTCGGGATTTCTTTCAACGGAGTATACAGGTGCTTCAGTTGAACCGCTTTCCTTCGAATCAGTTGTAAGTCGTTCTACTGGTAGTGGACAATCTTCTGAAGACAAAACTAATATTGCGGGTGGAGTATCTACAAGCTCTCCTTCAAGAAAACTTAGTACTGCAACTCTCGTTAGTACGGAAGAGTTAGATACTACCTTCACTTTTACCGACGCATTGGATGTAAGTTCCATTTCGACCATAGAATCTCCTAATCTATCTTATAAGTCTTCATTACAGACCACTTCTGAATCGAAGACTACTGAGAAGTTTCAAAGTTTTGGTGGCTCTCAAGGAGTGCCCGTTTATACTCACTCACCTTTTGCTACTCTAAAGAACTACAGCACTGTTGAAACATCTGGAACGGAAAGACTTGAATTCACACCTAAAAGTGTGCCTAACTTAGAAGAAGATATAACGCAAATAGGAGAAATCACCACTGTTGGAAATCCGAGAACTAGTTTATCTGCAAGCAGTATAATTCTAAGTACCACTAGTTTGCCAGCTAAACAGGTTTTTGGGGTAACTGACAAACCGAGAGCAAGTGAAGCAGAGTTTACTGGACTCATCAACAAGACGCAGCACACAGAATCGACTGAGCCTAGTACCACACATTTCCGTGAAATCCCAAGGATAACTAGCGAAGATGATGTAACAATGAGCAGTAATGAATCAGCCCTAACCGCTAATTCTGGAAGCACAACTGGTTCATTTTTCGATGGAACTACTCATTCTCGTTTCTTCTTTAAGGCTACTTCTAAGCTTCCAGAATCAGAAGTTACTGCAGGAAGAAGCACAACATATTCTTCTACGTCCATCACTTCTGATTATACTGCTTCTTCGGAAAATTCCTTAATCAATGAGCTTAAAATAATTGATGAAGAATTTGCTAAAACAACATTGGTTCAAACTGAACCATCGAAAACCCTAATAAGCAAAGCAGAATTTAGTAGTATCTCAACTGAGCAGAAGGGCACAGGAGGAAGTGCTTCAATTACTACTCCAGCTAGTTTTTCGGAAGTCGCTATTGCATTAGGAAAAAGCGAGACAAGGAACTTTACATCGCCTAGAACCAGTGGTTCCACAATATCAAGGAAATTAGAAGAGCAATATGGGGCAATGTCAACCGCCAATATTCTGGCTGTTGAAGTTACAACAGTTTATCGTGATAGGATATCTGAGTCCACTTCGACCTCGATAGGTGCTACTCCTGAAGAAGGAAGAACACTTTCGAGCCCAACTCTTCAGAGCACAGATACATCGAATCCTGATTCCATTGTTAGTACTACATCCTCTGCTACATCCGGTTTTCCTGCAATTGAAACCAAAACTACAGAAGAGTTGACAAAACATGTTAATTCTACTCATAAATTATTAGTTGCTGCTGCTACAGTATGGGGGCAAGGCGGAATCACAGTGGGTCCTGATAATTCTACCGAAAGCATTTCTGGCAGCGGAAATACAAGTATTCTAAGTACATCTGCTTTGGAAAATAATTTCTTTGGCAGTACGACTTCTGAGAATTCTAGTTCTGCTTCCGAGAGCTCAACACTGGAAGGAACGGAACATAATCTGGGCTGGCCGCTTTCTCCCAGAGCTACGCAAGGTGCTGTCACTCCACCAGGTAAACAGAAGGAAATCAATACAATTTTTGTTAAACCAAGAGATGGTGCACTCTTTGCAACCAAATCCACATCGCCCTCTACTATTTTCTCTACAGTTACTTCAAAAACTGGAGCTACTGATGACTTGTTGACTAAATCAACTACAACCACTGTTTTACTGGCGATGACTAATCCAGATAGTGATAGAGATAGCACAAGACCTATCGCCACCGAAGTCTTTTCAGTCCGACCTGTTTTTTCCTCGTCTGATCCAGAATTCACGTCTACAGTCACTGAGGCGCTTAGTGAAAGTCCGAAAACAGCTAGCACCAGTTCAAGTACACTGGCATCTCAAATCTTTCAAAAATTTGCAAATGAAACATCAAGTTTGGACTTAATGACTACGTACACTTCTGGAAATAGTCACCCTTTAAAAACAACTGTTCATGCGCCTGACGATGATGTGTCAACTATGAGTTCAACTACTTCAGGTATAAAGTTGCACCCAATTGCAGACATTTGCATCGTTTTCACTGCTACTTAGAGTTCATCACAACGCTCACTAACCGCTTAGTGTCTTCAGCTTTGTTGCTCACTAACTCCTCATAGAGTATAACTACTAACTCTTATCACAAGGTTTATGTTTTTTCAGTTGCTTTATAGCTTATAGAAACGCTATTCAGATCGGCAAACTGTGTGTTCTGATACCCATATCCACTTCAGGGAAAAGTATTGAACAACCGTCTACGGCGTCTATACCACCTTCTGAACACGTCACTGAGCAGTCATCACCTAAGTCGTTGGGCATTGGCAGTGAACAGAGTGCGAGTTCTGCAGTGAAAACACCACCGCATGATAACTTGTCTACAACTGAAGAGATGGAAACTGCAAGCAGCGAATGGCATGCTCACCTTACCACAAGCATTGCGGAGTTTCCTGGAAAGACGAACGTTGTCAATGTAGTTACACCGGCAACAGCTGGAGAATCAGACACTACTGACATTCTAGAGACAACCAGTGGTAAGCTTCATGTTTCAATCTGTACTCGAAGACTATGAGACACACCACCATTGAGTACTCTACGAATAGAGAGCACGAAAATACACTTAGCAACACTATGAAAAGTTGTAAATAAGAACTTGGTCGTTCCATTTTCTAAAGTCTAGAGAAAACAGTAGTGTTACCCTGAGCAAAAAGAGTGAAACTAGCTACTGGTTATGAAGATGTTAGCGCAAAACTTTTCGACAGATTAAAGAAGCTTCTCATAAAGCCAAAGAAACTGATGGCTCTAGGTCAAGAGGAATGCTCTTCATGTAGAACTATTGTCTCTTCCGTCCTACTGAAAAACAAGAAACTGGTCTAGACCGTTCACAATAGTTGCAGAGCTATGGAAGCTGGTTAAAACACCTTGTACTCTTTGAAAGGCGAAAAGGTCATCATCAACCGTAATTGTTCCAAATTTCTAGAAGACGTTTCCTTCAGAGCACATTGAGAACGTTTCTAAGCTACTTCCTAAGTTCCGTCTACAAAACGTTAACGATAAGATAGTTCTCAATCGGAAAGCGAATTATCAACCACGTTAAGTTCCTCATTAATACTTACTACTTCTATAGTTAAACGTAATGAAAATCACAGATTAGTCAAATCTGCAGAGTTTAGCCGGAAGACAATGAGATCGCACAGGAATCATTGCTTCTTTTAAATCCAGGTTAGGCGAACCATCACGAACCCTCATGCAACAGTGTCTACCCTCATCGTTCGCTTCCAATGAACTCTAGCATGTTAAAAATCAAGTTTCAAACTTGCTCTAACAGATGGTCCACTCTCATTAATCCATAGTTCCACTCTTGAACCAGCTGTTTTATAACCGTGCGACAATGTTGAAGAGTTTTCTTCAGCCGAAAGTCGATTATCAACCACTTTCTGAACACTATTAATGTTACTTTTGGTAGCTGCAGCACTGAATGAAAGGCATAGAAGAAATACAAGAGCTGCTTGGACTGATCCTTCATGATCCCTTAGATATAATTTTTTATTCTATCTGTCATAAAGGAATAAACGTCTCGGGATCGATCCATCCAGAGAGATACACTATGCATTCGACTTCACTAAGTATCGTTGGAAGTGATTGAATGCGTACTTGGCGAGCCAATGCTGCTATCCTCCCAGACAAGTCCAGTACCAATTTGCCGACCACGGAGGGATGGGGGGCTTAGTGGGTCATGGGCGCGGGGATCGATTCCAAATGCGTGTTGCAGTCCTCCAACCACTCCGCCACATGCGCCCTATCTGTCGCAGCTAGCGAAAATAGGAAGAGTGAACCTTATAATTGTACACTACCATCAAAAAATATTGCTGACAGAACGTTTTTTTCAATAGTGGAAATTGTGGGAAAAATGAATATGAATTACGATGTCGTCACTTTTTATTTACTGCCTATTCTTTTTCATGGACTCTGATGGTGTGGTGGTGAACGCGTTAACCCACGGAAAGGGTAATAGCATTTTCCGTTCCCCACCGCAGACACTAGCAGTCTGGAGTTTTGCAAATATCCCATCATAATTGTGTGTAAATGCTCTGAATTCAAGTGTTATGAACATATCTCAAATAATCACACCCACAATACCATAAGCATAGTCTGAATTTTACCTAAAACTTTTGCCCTCTCATGAAATAAAATCTCATCCTTCATTTAAGATCATCGCTATTGACTCCTACACGAGGTAAATTGACAACTAGTTCTTAGCGCAGTAAACGCCGCACCTCCAAGTTCTCCACACCTTTTTATATCATTAAAAAGAGGCATTTGCAACTCTCTACCAAGGGCGAATAACATGAACCGCCTAGGCCTGAATTTTTTTCCAGGAACCGTCTCAATTTAACTCCACTGTTCCCTCTACAACACCTGTTGCCCTATTAATCCTCACATCGTACCAAATTATTCTGCCCGTCTTCACAGATTGCTCAGCTTTTTTCACTACCACAACGAGGTTTTAAATGCTCATCACTGGAACTTTTGACACTCGTTCTATACCCGATAGCTTTAAAAGCATTTTTCTCAAACGCTTAGCGTCTGAAATGAGTTGATTTCCACTCATAGAATGCAAAAGTAGCTGTCATCTTCAACTGCAAGCCAACATATTTTAGCTCGAAGTAAACTTAATTAGTTGCAGCAACAAGTTCAAGAGCCTAAAAATTTTGCTACAGAACGAAAGCTCATTTCTTTTACCACGATTAAATTCTAGCTTCATTCAATTCATGAGTACCACTACTGTCAATTTTTTCGTGGAGGCTCGAAACTGAAGGGAGTTACATGGGCGATGTTCCGTTTAAACTCGATAGTTCACTTTGATGTCTATTTCTTATTTTCTGCCCGCTACAATTTTTACGGCAGGATATTAGGCGAAATACAACCACAACGACTCTGAGATATTTGCAAAATTCCGGACCGCAGGTATCTGTGGTGGGGAGCAAATGCACCATTACCCTTTCCGGGAGCTAACGCGTTCACCAGCACACCATTTGGGCTCTTAATTTCGCCCATCTCTCAGTTAGTTTTATCGATCAACGCCATTAGCAGTCACCCGTCAACGGGATTAAACTAGGGAGCTCAAATCAGCAACGATTCCATTTAATTATAATAAGCAGTAAAAAAGTAAACATTGTGTTTTCGACTACAGCCTCAGCTTAACTGGGTTGAATGCCGATATGGCCTCCCCAGATCAAACCCGTTGACGGGTGATTGCTGATAGGACCAGCATGGTGTGGTGGTGAAGGCGTTAGTCCCCGGAAAGGGTAATAGCGCATTCGTTCCCCATCGCCGACACCTAAGCTCCGGAGTTTTGCAAATAAAGATTTGATTTTTTGGAATGGTCTTCTCTATAAATCGACTACGTTTCAACTAATTAAATATTCCATTTATCAAGAAATTATCAGCACTTTACGAAAACCCTGCTTCGAAACCTGGGCGTTAATCGGCTTTGTACCATTTTATTGCACGGTCACTCCACATCACCCATTCATCTGACCCACGTCAATCACTCTAACGAGGTACTAACGAGGGCGATTCACTTGCAGGCACTAGACCCCACTCCACGACTGAGGACGACCTTTCAGTAATAATCCAGTCGTTTGAAAAAACTACGGGCGTTTCAAATGAGCTGCTACGTCGTGAAAGTGGGCCGTGTTCGTCTTCGGACCGCTCTATGTGTCATCAGCTGGCCATATGTGAGATTGCCACCGGATCGTGCCGATGTAAAGATGGATACACTGGTGACGGATATACAAATTGCACGTATGTTCTCTAAAAGATTATTCCAGATTACTTCATTTTACAACTGGAATCTTCATTAGCGACAATTACCGCGTCTGTCTCCATTTTTACAAAATTAGTGATTAGCTGGTTTGCTTGAGATCACACATAAGATTCTGAAACTTACAGCGGAACCGCTTTGTGCAGTTATTATCAACTAAATATCATTTAACTCACTTTGATTGGTAATTGGATAACTAACGAAGCTCGAGAAAGTCGAAAAAGTTTCTCAAAATTGCACAAATGCTAAGGAAAAATCTGTCATCACTTTATGAAATATTTGGCGCTGTGGACTGACGTTTTGATACAAGTGGCGTTGTCATTATAACGGTTACTATCAGTAGAATATTTTTGTGGATTACCATCTCGTCTTCAGTAAATTCACACCTCCCGATTGCACACTCGATCCGAAGCTCTGCCACGCTAATGCCCATTGTGACCGGCACACTCGTCAATGCGCCTGCCGCATCGGCTACATCGGCGACGGCTTCGAATGCAATCCAGATCCACAGGTACTCATCCTTAATACTACTTATTTGATACTTTAACGACCCGTAATCGCTTGTTGTGCAGCTCTCAGCATAGTTTCCATTTTTCTGAATTTTGCGGGATTACCTATTGTGCCAGCACAGGCAGCTGAAGCCCTTGTGGATCAGAGGGAGATTTGCCATCATGCGACTAGTTTAATACCTGGATAGTGGTCGATCCTTGTATTGGTTTACTCTTAGCTAGGTTTTCTGATAAAAAAGCCTGACTCCTTCTCAGCTTTGGAGAGCTTGTCCGAATGGATTAATGTTCCCGCTGTTCATCGCAACCCAACACCCAGAAACACCTCCCAGCCATGATGAGGCGGTAAACCGTTGGGAGGATCCTTAACATTAGAAATCTCAAAAAAGCACATGTATCACAGAAACATGCAAAGTATTGACATGCGTTGTTAAAGCCGATAAGATCTGTAACATTTAAGCTTATTTACCTTGCAGGACTGTATCATTCGTAAGAATCTATGTAGTCCTGAGGCAATCTGCACTGGAAGACGTTGCAAGTGTGTTGATGGGTTTACTGGTTGGTTTTCTTCATTCTGAATTCAGCAATCAGATGGTGTTGTTCTCTTTCGAGTTAGCGTTTTGTAACAGTGCGAGGCATTAACCTAATTTTCTTTCGGGAGCGAGAATCGCTTTCTTTTAGACTTCTGAAATTAACCCTGGATTTCTGGGTTTAACTCACATTTTGGTTTAGATTATTTTTTCTCTAATTAAGACTACAATAAGCAATAGAATATTTTGACTGATTAACAGGTGACGGCGTGAAATGTGTCTCAGTCTACCAGCGTTCCGTAAATTGCTCCGAGTGCGATGTGAACGCCCATTGTAGCGACGGCGTATGCCATTGCAATGTAGGTTTGGTCCATTTTTTGTGCTTTTCTCAAATTTTCAACCATGACGCGGAAAACATACGAGGGCATCCGTGGGTAATATAGGAGATTCTGTTTGATTGGTGACTAACTGCGTGTTCGAAGTCAACAAGTATCCCACTTTTCATGAAGAACGCAGCCTGCTGTGATTCAGATCAGATGATGATCAGATCAGGTTCAGATGTCATCAGATCTTAAGCAGGAAGTCTGAAAAGTCCGAGGATTATTGGACTAAAATCACTCTTGTAGATTGGCTATTTTGGAAATGGTCTATGCTGCGTGCCGGATCCACGAGACTGTGTGCACTTCCCTGGCGTTTGCAATGCGGTTGCCACTTGCGACAAGGAGAACCGATTATGTAAATGTAATTCAGGTAACAAGCCTCCAAGTTTGATCTTAAAAACAGGATGATGCAATAGAAGAGAAGGCGATCATATCCTGGTTGAGGCTAAGAACAGCCAGCTGTTCACTTAGTGGCGCATAGAGCCTGTGGTAAAATAGCCCACAATATAAAAATTTTCATCTCGGCGCGAAACAGTCACCTTTTGTTTATTTTCTTCACTACATTAGTCTTCTAACTATTAAAAATGTTTCGTTCATAATGTGAAAAATAAGATTTATAGAACATATTTTTTATTTAACCCTTCTTCACGTCTACCGTGCGGATCCCAACGCTTCTCACGTTCGATTCGTTTCCTCGAATCCGCTGTCGACGAACAACTTCCAACTTTTACATGTGGCTACGGTTGCTGCTTGAGGATTCTCATTCCATCTTGAATGTCGTAGAGTGCTGGTTGAGCATCGAGTCCTGAGATAGCCGCGCTGGAGTGTTACCAGTTGGATTGTAGAGAGTGAATTTTTCCCAGACAAATGCGGTACCACATATAGAACTTATAGAACGTAATAACAACTACACGAATATAGGTCGTTCAGAAATCACGCTAATGGCTTACTAATTCTGTAGGTGTTTCTAGTTCTAAGTTCGTTGCTACTTCCATAGATATTGTTCATTTATGCGATATTATTATGATAGGAATGGAATGGCAAAATCCTGATTGTAGTGAAACCACTAAATTAGACGATACAAAATATCGGGCCAGTTTTCAATCCCATGTTTTGAAGAGGAACTGCTGGCATAATCCAACCATATCTATAGAAGCATTCCAGGATTTCTTGGCGATGGTATTTCATGCTTCCCAGTTCGTTCTTGCCGTTATGATCCGAGCGTGTGCCACGACCATGCAGTGTGTCTGCCATCAGGTCAATGCATCTGCAAGCATGGATTTCGTGGAAACGGTTACGAGTGCTCCAGAAGTGCGTTGTTCATATTCATTCGTTTATTAAGTGCCCTGTTATCGTATTTAGCATGCTTAGCGATATTTTTTGAACTGACAAACAAGTGAACTCACCTGCAGCTTTCTCTCTTTATAAACATATATATATATATATATATATTTGTAAATTATACATACATAGCATCAATTGTGCCAACGTTGGTCGTCAAGGAAATCATGTGGTGTGGTAGTCCACTAGACAATGCATTTACGGGCCTCGAGGAGATTTTTACTTTAATTTTCTAAATGATTGACCTGATATGAGGTTGGTACAAAAACCTCTATTCGGCTAAAGTTTCGTCGCCTTCGCTGATCCACAACTGCTCAGTGCTGTGACTCGGGTGTTCGTAGTCGCATCGAGTTGAATCTAGTGGAAAGGGCACTGCTCGAATAGGTAAATCCACTCAACGATACCCTTTAATAGAAGGCAGATGTTGGTCGATTCTTGCCTTCTAGTATGATCTACATTTTGGTGGGTAATGCGTCAAAGATACGTTCCAATTATTTGACCACCAATCCATCAAATTAATGAATACATATGTACATATATATACACATATATATACATATATATGTCGAAATCATGTGTTTGTTGTGTGTAACCCACTGGATCTTCCTCACCGTGGGATCTCTTCACGGCTAATCGCGTGGAAACGTGGCGCGACAATAAGTGATGAATAGGATGTGGATCGCTTACTAAAAGCGACCTTATCCTCCCCTGAGAACCAAGTGGTCCAAGATGATCAACTGCCTGTTTCTAATGCGCGGATCTGACACATGCCTTTTGTGTTTACGAGGACATGTTCATGCAAGTGTGCGTGAGTGTGTTCTCGTTTGTGCGGATTATACTCGTCGATTTGGCCAAATCCAAAGACAGGGAGATATATACTAGGCGGTTAAGAGCCGTCTCCAAAAATGAACTCTCTGTTTCTCCGGGAGAAGTCTGGAAACCGCTTTGGAGTATACCCAACGTCAACGTTAGGAGCTCAACAAGCTACAGGTGGGTATCAAAAGCTAACCAGTAAAATAAGTGGACCTCACTCCCTGACCACAAAGAAACCTTGGTAAGGCAGCATTGGGTGGGACGAGTACGGAAATGTTGCTAAAATCTCTGGTCCATTCTAGGGTGCCTAAATTTCGAAGGGCTAAATTGATGATCTCTACTTACAACACATGCTCACTCTTATCTGAGACACGATTCCAGAAGCCAGAAGCTCCACTCACAACGTAGGATGTGGGAGTCTCTCATTGGAGAGAACCATTCCGAAACAGACCACTTCATCATAAAATGAAGGTATTCTGTAACGATCAGTCCATCGCCTCCTTTGCACAAGACTCCATTTCTCTTGGAAATGAGAGAAAAAACGAAACGCCAAAACCAGTAGGAATTATTCAGACCACTTGTGGGTTCTTGGTAAGGTACTGTTTTTGGTAACATCGACGAGGAATACAACTGGGTTATTCAACATCTTCACGGTAGTGTTATGAAAACTGAGAGTTCGAAACTCACCGAGAGACATCTGTCTCTATGCACCCTCGCACTGATACGTCAGCGTGGAATCATACGAACCAAAGGTAGCCTACTGATCACCGAACATGCAAAACAATGCAGAAAGGCGATAAAAAAAAATAGAGGGGAGAGTAGCAGTTATGGTCGAATCTGAAGAGAGGAAAACATTAGCAAAGCCCACCGAAACGCCAATTACATGATCAGGATGATCATACTCCATATTCCAGATGGAAAAGTTATGGCTTCTTGAAAGGCAATGGGAAAAATCACCCATGATTACTAATCGAATCTGTTCAATATTCACGTCTTGCTGCCCTCATATAAAATAAAGGAAGATGAATATCTCGCGCTACCAGTTCCCCTTCCGAAATCCAACATGCTATTTCGTCGGTGACAAATCGAACAACACTAAGTCTGGAGAGGGTAAGATCTGAGCACTTGAAGAACTCCGCCAGTCCTCAAAACACACTGGCTTGGACCTTTATACGTTACTTGTCAAAATGTAAAGTTTCTAGGCAACGGATCACCGAAAATACTGTGTTATTGTCGAAGAAAGGTGTCCTCCACGATATCGGCAACCAACGTCCACTCTGCCATCCGTCTGTCGTTTACAAACTTCACTCGAGTCATCCTAAACAGGAATGATGAAACATTGGACAAAGGACAGCCATGTGAGCAAGCAGAGTTTCGAAAAGAGTTCAACGCGATGAGCCATATCCACACAATAACAAACTTATTGAAGTATCGCGAGAGCAGAAAAGACCGCTCTGTCTCTCATCGGTTTAGAGAAGACTTTTGACTCAATTGAGAGAAGAGCAGTTATGGAGGCCCCGTACGGCCAGATCATCCTTGCTTAGTGTGCAAAAAATTTTCGCGAGCTGTCTACAAATTCCACAATCAAAATGTCACCATTGTTCACCGATATTGATGTCCACGCAAAAGATAGGTTTGGCAACGCGAAACCATCCCAGCAAAATTATTTACAGCTGCTCTTCAGAACGCCACGTGATTATTCGAATGAGTCTACATGACATTGAAAACCGATGTTAAAATTACACCATAATTACTTTACTGATGAATTCATTCCTTTAACTAGCTTCAAAAAGATTAGCCAGGCGGAGTGAATATTATTCGGCTTTGCAAACACTTGTTTAAAGATTGGTCCTCAATCATCTATAAAAAAACGCTGTTGGTAAGGAACGGATCGGCCTCGTATGCTCTATTCGACTTCAACAGAATAAGTACTTTAAATGCTCCTGCTACGTCTATCTAGGTTGAGCAGTCAACATAATGAACGACTTAGCTCCAGATTTGAGCAGGAAGAAATGAGCGGCTTCAGGAGCTTTAGAGAGCATCACGGACATAGTGAGGAGGACAAACGACGCCCGACTTCTTCGAATCGATGACCCTTCCTACTTGAAGTACACGTCATAAATTTGATAGCTACGCAGACAGGGTGAAACATCACTCACCACTGTAGCAAGCGCAGCCAAAGGGCACGCAAGTGACAGAGGGATTCTGAAGCCCCGCCTACGTCAACGATCAGAATTAAAGACGTCGTTGTATACGCCAATTTGTTGAGGATAAAACGGGCTGGACACTTGCTGTGTATGAACGGCAACCGATGGAGAAGAGCCGTTAGCAACTGGATTCTTCGGAATGCTAAACGTACAGAAAGAAGACCACAGACTTGGTGGTCAATGTTCTTGACGAGACCTCTAGAAGTTAGGTGTAATGCTCAATGAGTTTCTAGAGTGAGCAATGCGAACTAGGGTACTCTCTCACTAATCATGGAGAAATTAAACGCTTATTGGCGCTCGCTCGAATCACACAAGAGTCAACGAGAAGACAGGTAATACAGCGGATTATGTGTAACGCGTAAAAGGTGAAATACATCGTTGTCAATGCATTTTATTTTCCAATATTTGTTTAGCGCAGTTTTTTTGCTATACATTTTTTTTGCTTTTTTGCTATACAATCGATATCTTCTGCAAAAATTTTGTGGCAAGTGTGGTTCGTCAAGTGTTGTCCTCTACTCTTGAGAATTTCGAAAAGTGATTTTTTTTCGGGGGGGGGGGGGGGGGGGGGGGGGGCCTTTTTTTTTANGGGGGGGGGGGGGGGGGGGGGGGGGCGGTGAGGGACCTTTCATTATACACCGCGTCATTCGAAAAATTAAGCATTGTCAAGTAGTGGGTACTGAAAAGTGTGCCAACTCTTCGTATACCATGAATCGCACCAAGTTCCAGTAAATGGTTTGCAGTCATTTTGATGGAGAGATAAGGTAAAATCTTCATTTACGGTCAAACTTGAAATGTGTTGAGGAACTTTCTCCTTTAGTTACTCCATTGCTGCGTCACGATATCGGCGATGTCCTCAATTCATGCGGAAACAATTGTGACAAAGAGACGCAATTGTGTATTGATGGCCAATGCGTTTGCAAGCACGGCTATGTGGATGATACGAACGGAAATTGTATTGGTAAGCGGCACATTCTTTGTAGGCAGATTCGCAGATTTAGAGTAGCTCTATTAAATTGCAACTTTCCACCACTATTTCTGGAAAGTTTTCCGGATTTTGGTCGGAAGTGTTTCGAATGCTGGGAGAAGGGATCTATTATTTTTCTTTGGCCAGTAGAGGACCTTTTGATCAAATACACATAGTTTTCCTTGAAGAACTAAATTCTGCTGTTGTTTATTTTATTACCTATGCTCTGTTGGGTTTTATGCATTTATGCATGATCATCTAAATCTCACAAAAGCGATGTTGATGAAGAACGGATTGGTTTCGTAGGCCTCAGAACGAATATCTCCGAGGGCTCCCGTTATATCTATCTAGGCCGGGAAATTAATACAATGAGCGACCTAGCTCTAGAGCTGAGCAGAAGGAAACGAGTGGCTTCAAGAGCATCGAAGATGTAGTGAAGAGGACAAAGAACACCTGACTCCGCGCCCATCTTTTCGACTCAACGGTACTTCCTACCTCAGAGTTGATGACGAAAATCTGGAAAAAAAGATAGGATGATCAACGAGTTCCTAGAGCGAGTAGAACCCACTGGGCTACTCTTGCACACGACAGGGAAAAATGGACGATTTACTGGCGCCCTCTCGAATTACTCTACGATCAACGAGACTGCTGTTGCTAATAGTGTCGCCTAGCAGCTTACCAGTTTCTTGCAGAGCTCGCAAAAAGCCTATTTGTTGGAAGCGACTTCTAACTTTCTCCTATAAACTTTCGTAGGCTTTTGGCAATGTTGTCTCGTTGAATAGAATTCACATAAACGAGAATGCATCCATGCATGCGTGCATGATTACTTCCTCATAAACATAGAATGTATGTGCAAAATGAAGGCAACGGGAAGAAGAAGCCCGTCTTCTGGATCCATCTGCGTTTCGTGGAAGAGTATTCTCCCTTCTAGTCCACGATTAATCTTTCCGGGGAACAACGCGTTCATCCTCACCTACAAAAGCGCAGCTTTGCCTCGCAACGAACCGCTGTAAGATCCCTCTATGAGGAAAATTCGCGGTTCTTATGCACATATATATATACATATGTTTATATATGAGGCAGCAGCACAATGGTAGTGATGCCGGTTATGATGAACACGGCGGTGGCTTGTCCCCTCCCCTTTTCACCAAGCCTGTTATCACTCCGGGATCGTAATTTTAGTATCGGATTTGTCTCTGAAAAGCTCACTCTATGCGGTCAAACTGGGAACAGTCTAGCATGGCCATCTCAGTACTCTAAGGAAAATCGACTCGAGTAGATTTCAACGACATCATGATAAAAGGAAAAACCCTCGATAAGCAGCTGAAGCCACACGTAAAAGGCTGGAAGACCTTCGTGGATGGCACATGTGAAAAAACGGATCGAATGCGAAAAGTACTGGAATCCACACAGTGGATGTGGGAGATGGATCGTGTAAAGTATATATATATATATATATATATGTATGTATTAGCTTGAAGTGATGCCATGATAAGGATTGGGATTTGCAATAGAGGTTTCTAGCCTTAGAGGAGAGTTCGTCGGCTTAATTCCGATGCTGAACTAAGAGAATAGTTGTCCATGCATCTTTTTCTTTTACCACGTATGAATGTTGACTCATCACCTGGAATAAATCTTGGCTGTGAAATGGGAAACATCTAGACTAGAATTACCGGAAATGCATCATATCATCATTTCTGAAGAGCAAATTATGACATCTCTGAGCGTTCCTTCGTTTCAAACATTATTTATTCCAGATGTCAACGAATGCCTCTTTTCTCCCTGCCACCATCTCGCTACTTGTACAAACCTTCCTGGGTCGTTTGTATGTACATGCCCAGCAGAGTACGTTGGTGATGGGAAGACATGCATTCAACTTCTTAGGGTTGGAGAACTTGGCGGTGAGTTTGTGCAGCAGTCTGTTTATGACTCTTCCTTTAATGTTATAAAAGTTTTTAACTGTGCAGTTCAATAATTTAAGCGCGGTGCTTTAATATGGGCCTTTGCAGATCTTCATGAAGGCGAAGTCAGCCGAAACAATAGTCACTGGGGTGTAAAGGCTGTATTGGCATATAACCACCCCGCAGTTTTTATTCCTTACGCCTTAGAACGGCGCGTAATTCTCAGCTTTTATGAAGTTGCCGATTTTTTGACAATAAACGGTAATTTTTCGATAATCAGAGGACTTGAAGGGTTGTGTACATGATGAGAATGTAGAAGAGACTTTGGCCTATCGTTATGGGTATGAATGCTGTGAATGCCTCTATCTACGTTGGTCCTTGTAATTACACTGTGGTCAACATTTGGATGGATTTTGGAGCTTGGCCTTTTTTGCACACACAGTCTGTCCAATAACTATGATCCATAATAGCCAATAGAAGTGAAATAACAGTTAATTAATGGTAAAATTACCAGTCAATCAACCCATTCGAGAAGAAGTATCCTGGAGCTACCAGCTGATGGAAAAAAGTGCAGAAAGAGGGTTTTGTGAGCAAAAATGAACCATCGGAAAGCGAATGAAGCATAGAGAGCTCAGGTCACTCCGGCTTCACTTGTGGGCCTATACGTCCATATTGTCTGCTGTGTGTTAAGCACATTGTTCCAACAAATGTAAAGTAAAACAATTTATTGATCGGTGCTGATGCTGATAAAAAATCGGTCTCTGAAATTGAAGTGTTTTCGACAACTTCCTGTAAAGTTCTGGCCACAACGTTGCATTTTGTCGTGAGAGCCTTACAAATCAGAAATTAACGAAATCTTTACTGACAGAAATTTGTCCTGAGGGCAATGTAGTGCAGAATACTTCCCTACTCTATATTTAGAAGTGTTTTTCTGTCCATATCGTTATATAGCGTTGATTTGGCCCGTGATTCTGTGGATATTTCTAGAGATAAAAACTAGAGGTAGTTTTATTGATTGGATGTCGTAGCACTTCTCAGTATTTCCTTATAAGCTATCCCTCGGTCTCTTCAAATAAGCACCTCATTGAGAGAGGTGCTAAATTCGTTGGTTATTAACTTGCTTTTCCATAATATACCTAGTTTTCTAAAGTGTAGATCATTTCACACGTATCTTCTTTGCTTCTATCATTCTTTTCATTCATCTCAGAAAAAAAATTCCACTTGTTTTCGGTAATGAAAGAAAAATTTTTACGAGAATTTGTCAAGACAACACTTGAAAACCTTCATGCCATCCACTTCGTGCAGAACATGGCCACTTACCAAACAATATGGTTTACACTAGGTATTTCTATGAATTTTCGTGTTAGCTGAGTTTCGCACAGACTGTGCCCCTTCATCGCTGCTATTATTGGAACGATATCACCATATTGTTTACTTCTCATTTACTTTACTTTATATTTACTTATTTATATTTGCATTATTTACTAAACTTTACATTAGCTTATTTTTTATTTTAAAAAGTAAACATTGTGATTTCGACCCCACCCTCAGCTTAACTAGGCTCGATGCCAATGTGGCCACCCGAGATCAATCCCGCTGACGGGTGGTTGCTGTTGGCACTGCTAGATAGAAAGCTAGCTTAGAGAAAGGTGGAGCAAGAGCCTCCATGGCGTTGTGTATAATGCGCGAGCACCCGGAAAGGGAAAGCGTGGTTCGATCAGGCCGGGGATCCTAGTTTTGCTAATATCTCAGTTTGGTTGATATCACCACAGTCGATGGGCAAGATCGAGAGTAATATTCTGAAAAGGTCCATCATTCAATTGTTATTAATTCCCAAAAAGTGGACCATGATGCCTTGTGCGCACACATAGTCCAAGTCATGTTCGAACGAATGTTCTTTAAACTCAGATAATTTTAGATTAGACAAATATTTGTTGCAATTTCGACTTTGCAATAATTGGCTTGTTGTTACTCATTAAGGTTTCAGTGTTTTGTGAACCTGATGGCATGACCCTGGTGCTCAGTAACGACACCACAACATTTGAGGGAAGGATTTTCGTACGCGGGCAGGTTGATAATCCACATTGTTCGAAGACCTTCTCCGCTCTGGAACACGCTTCTAAACCCTACATGTTCAAAGTTGCGTTTGAATACTGCAACGTCCGTCTCGAGGACGATGTTAGTCCATCGGAAATTTTTAGCCTTTGAGTCTAGAGCTTAGCGTTCGTACACTTTTTTAGGATACTTTCGCAACGACAGTGATCGTCCAGAAACATCCAATGTTCATCACGACTGCAGCTGATGCCTATGATCTTAGATGTAGGTATCCGCTAGGGGTGAAGGAGGTACGAAATTTTTTTCTTTTTTGTAGATTTACTATCATTAAATCGCTTTTTTAGAGCTCTCTATCTTCTTCACTACTATTTTGAAACATGACAACATTAAAAATTCAGTTTGCTGCAGCTTCGTCCACAGTTACTATTTCTTGGGTGCCTACGCAGTACATGCAATTTTCAAACCGTTATTCAAAAACGAAGCTAAAAGTGCACACGAAGATTGCTGTTTGTTTGATTTTGTTTGTTACTAAAACATTAGAGACCCGTGGTTTCTGACGCAGTGGTCGGAGGCGCCCTGCAACGCACACATGGGATCGATCCGCGCTCCCGTGGCTCACCAAGTCCTCCATCCCTCTGGGGTCAGCAAATTGATACCAAACTTATCTGGGATGATCGCAGCACTAACTCGATATATCGACAAGCCCCCGTAAATCATTTTACAGGCCAGATATGCACTCAATCACCTCCATGATACCTAATGAAGTTGGATGCATGGCGCATCCCTCAGGGTTTGATCAACGCCGACAGCTTTATTCTTTTATCCTTTTTATCAAAACATTATCTGAAAATAGTTGACATTGAAGCTTTCTAAGGGTCTGTGTAAGATATTTGAAAGTTAGGAAAGTGTATTCAACACACGTAACTCTGTAAATTTTGCAAGTTTCTGAATATCTAATACGCTTTAACAGATATTTAAGAGGCTTTAGGTTGAATCGCATGTGAACGTGTCCGACCTGACAACTTCATCCACACTAACGGACAACACCCATGGTCCAAACTGTCGACTGGCAATAACCAACGAGGCCAATGAGAGCATTGCTGCCGCCGTTGTCGGACAAGCGCTTCGTCTACGACTTGAAGTGTCTCCTAACGGTGCGCTACCTCTTCAAGAATACCCTAACTCATTCATTACAAGCATATTCACGTCAACGCCAATTTTCGTTGTCTGCCTTATGAGACAACTTCTAAGTTTTCGTCGATTGCGGTCTACAGTGATCTCAATAAGCGTTCTCTTTGTTTCCTCACCCTCAAACAAAACCACACATTCTCCTTGTTAGCGGCAGTCTTTGTCCTATTCTGCCAGTATTGGTGCAGGACCAGCGTACAATTGGTGCAGGACCAGCGTACAATTGGTGCAGGACCATCGTACTTGTGTTTCCGTAGAAAAGGTTCTTCACCACTAACTGCGTCTGCTGCTTGACTCTCATGCTCATTAAAAAAAACTGTTTTTGTAAGTTATTGGGGGCGCATAAACAAACATTGTGCGGATAAGTAAACCTCCAGAAAAAATTCATTGAGATTAGCTTGCGCTGTCCGTTGTGGATATATTGCGTGTTGTCCCGTGTAAAGTGACCAAAGCGCAAGTGTTCATTGCAAGGAGTAGGTGCTTCTATGAAGACTGAATCTCAATCAGTATACACTAAGTGCTTTAACTTAGTTCTGACCCAAGTTCATGACACATTTGCCCAAATCGTTTCCTGAAGGGGTGATAATTTAGCGCAGCACTCTGACATATTTTCGTGCGACAATACAGGTTCTAAAAGCCTATTCTCCATTTCTAATTAGTTTTCAAGATGTGTGAAGTTCTTCTACATCACATGAGTACTATTCTCTCAAAATTATTCAGCTTGGGATAGACAGGTTTTCAAATTCCATGGTCTCATTTTGGAACTGAGTTTGCGAGGTTTCATAATTTGGGTACTATTTTCAGAGACGTACTCAATACTACCTCGTAACTGCTTTGCTATCAACATTGAGACCGGAGAGAGATATTCGCTCACTGATAATGCCGGTTGTGCTATCGACAATCAATTGTTCCCTGAGTGGACGAGAGTGCGTCCAAGTATCACAGAAGCAGTTTTTAGGTAGAGTGCGCTGTCATTTTTTCGAATCAGCGCAACTATTAGTTATTAAAACGTTTTACTTTTTATTTCCTGTTTGCTACACTTTTTACTACAGGCTATTAGGCGAAATACAAGCACAACGTTGATGAGATATTTGCGGAGCTTCGAACCGCAGGTGTGCGGGGAAGAATGAATGCGCTATTACCCTTTCCTGGGACTAACGCGTTCACCACCACGTCATGCGGGTCCTTCGTTCCACCTGTCTCTCAGCTAGTTCTATCGATTCGTGCCATCAACAATCACTCGTAAACGGGATTGATCTGGGAAACCCACGTAGACATTGGACCCAGTTAAGCTGAAGCTGTAGTTGAAATCAAAATGTTTTAGTTCCCAGGATCGACTTTCTCATAACCTCGGCATTGGAATATGAATGTGTCGTTTTCTTCTTCAGCAATCGCAAGGTTTTTAAACAGCATACATTTACTTCCATAAAAACGCAATACAATACAACGCTAGCTGACGTTTCGGCAGTGACGACTCAACCACATGCGACTATAATCAGCTGTTCTAAACTTCCTCATTGGAAGTCACGAAAAAGCGGCTCCGAAGAAGGCGATACTGCCGAAACGTCAGCTAGCGTTGTATTGTATTGTGTTTTTATGGAAGTAAATGTATGCTGTTTAAAAACCTCGCGATTGCTGAAGAAGAAAACGACACAAAATGTTTTACTTTTTATTTTTTGCCTACTACAGTTTTCATGGCAGGGTATTAAAGAGAATACAACCACAACGTTGCTGAGATATTTGCAAAACTCCAGACCGCAATTGGCTGCGGTGGAGAACGAACGCGCCATTATCCTTCTCGCATTCTCGCTTCTCGGACTTACGCATTCACCACCACACCATGCGGGTCTTTCGCATCACCTGTCTCGCAGCTAATTCTATTATTCGTTACTAATTTTAAAACCTTTCGCATCGCAGTCGTAGTATTATGCCTTTACAGAACTTTTAAATGGCCTGATAGCTCAATGATTCGTTTCCAATGCGACTGTAGTGCATGTGTGGGCACTTGTCCTGAGGTATTGCCTTTTTTCTTATTAAAAATATCCTTTCACAAGATTGGTTTTGTTCATGAGAAAGCTGGCGTTAGATTGAAATATAGACTATTGGATGGATTAAAAGTAAGTTGAAGTACAAAGTTGTGAATCTCTTTATGTTTCCAGTTGAACTGCGGGCTTCGTCGTTCCTCCACGACACGACGGTTCCGTTTTCGACGAATTCGTCATATCGGCAACGAAACCGAGATCGGTGAAGGCTCGAATGACAGTGACTATGAAGAAGACGAAGGGAAGAAGGAACTTTTCAAAAAGGTTGCAGAGAGATTTGATAGTGGTGGAATTCTTTTGAGTGCACGAAAATTTTTCAGCCGATTTATTTATTGAGTGAAGCATCGGCTTGCTCACACTCAAAGGCTAGACCGCAGTAATCGAAGTGTGACTTACCTCATTCGATGCTATAACCAAATTCTAAACGATAAGCTGAATGAGTAGCTTTACAACGATGAATAGCAAGAGACAGTGGTTGTTGTATCTAATCAGAATGTGAACTTGAGTTTCTGTTTGGATTTATGTGCAGCTAAAGAAGGATCTAGGACGCGTGTGGCGCAGTGGTCGGAGGCGGCCTGCAAAATACACGTGGAATTGATCCTCACGCCAATGTCCCGCCAAGCCTTCCATAGCTTCGGGGTCGGCAAATTGGTACAAGACTTGTCTGGGAGGATAGCGGAACTGGCTCGATACATCGGTAGGCCACCGCGAGTCATTGTGAAGGCCAGATATGCATTCAATCACCTCCAAACGATGCTTAATGAAGCCGAATGCATGGCGCATTCCTCAGGGATTGATCAACGCTGGGACCTTTATCCTTTCTCATTGTTATATTATATATACATATATGTAATATCATTGAAATGCATGAAATCATGGAGAGGATGCTTCGAGTTTTGTTTTAAAATCTACTGCTGAGGTTTTTCAGCGGTATATGGACAAGAACAAGACCTCCCTGGAAAATCAGAAGCAGGTAACAAGATGTTTTATAAAATTGGGCATTATCCTTCATCCTTTAAAGCAGGATCTGGCTCTAGATTAGTTTTGCTGTTCTTGTAATATCGGCCCCTTAAACTGTCTGATGTTGTTGATCGCTGGAAAAATAAATTTTCGGTATCCCTTGTTTGATTGTGACTAGATATTGGTCAGCCTAATAAGTAATGTCTCGCTTAACATTCATGCTTACGACACAGCTGAGAGCTCAACGCTCAGAGTAAAACTCAAATACTACTTTCATTTCTTAGAGTTGTTAAAATAACCCCTTATTATGTCGGAATTCATCGCAAATAGAACGGAGGTTTCCATAAACGCTTCTATAATGTGCAGAGGAATTTCTAATTTTGTTTCCTTTAAGCTCGTGTCATCAAATCGCCTCGCGTTCTCGTCGTTGGTGAAAATTCAAGATGGCGAGGAAGAGTCTCGCATTCAAGAACAAGTCGATCACTGGAAAATGGGTTTGTTGAGCTACTAAAGTGTAAACGTCAATTTCTCAGATTAGTTGTCACCTTTATTATTGAGGCAGAGGGTAAGGGTAAGGGTAAGGATTACACGGCTGTAGTTACCAGTGGGTTTACAGCTTTATGGATTATGAAGGTATCTCGAAATTGAAGATAGTTAAAAGTTTTCCCTACGAATACGCGTGTGGCGCAGTGATCGGAGGCGCCCTGCAAGCGCCCTGCAACACACGTCGATGCCCACGTCCATGTCCCACCGAGCCCTCTATCTCTCCGGGGTCGGTAAATTGGTACCACACTTGTTTGTTAGGGTAGCAGCACTGGTTCGATACATCGATAGGCCACCGCAAGTCATTATAAAGGCCAGATATCCATTCAATCAACTCCAAACGATACTTAATGAAGTCAAATGTATAGCGCATCTCTCAGGGGTTGATCAACTCCGAGGGCTTTATTTTTTTATTTTTTTATTACGAACACAGCCTCACATTAATGCTTGCGTTGTTCGGCACAGTACTGGTATACATATTAAATAGTTAATTCACGTTCCACCCATTTCTCGTAAGGACTAAGTAGTAAATGCTGGGGCTTTCGGAGTCTGTACTCCTCAAAAGTCGTCTCTTCAAACTTCTTTTTTTCTAGGTAGTTCGCAACAAGAAGTACTGAAAGAGCCGAGGCGCGGTGACGCAACGTTGGTGTGCGTGCAGACTGCTGTCGCCTTCGGCATTTGCATAATGACGTTAATTTGTTTGGGCGCATTTGTCTATACATTTACTCGACGACCACTATGCAAGGCGAACGTCTTGTTTTCATCTACGGTTTTCTCAATTTTCTTATAGATACCAGTCGTACTCTTCGAATGACTTTTCGTGCTCACTCAGTATTTCAGTGCTTTTAGCACCGAAGCTCTTTCTACTGTTCGGATTATTGCCTTTCCTCCACCATCGCTTTATGGTTGTTTCCACCAGTTCACACATATCTGCTTGTTTTGTGAGATTTCCACTTTTCTGATGTTTCACTCTGTGTGCTATTTTAACGTGCTCATTTATAGCCTTGGTGATAGTTAACTTTTCTTCGAAGCTGGGATCAAGTTGTTACCAGTTGTTGCGAGTTGCCATTTCACTGACACATTGATGACTCATTTCACATTCCATGTGCTCGCCTACGAGAAGAGCGTCTGAACTGACTTATTCATGTAGTAGTTATCGTTATTATTTTTGGTCTTTTCAATCATTTGCGATCTGTTCTTCACCTTTGTTTTACTTGTCTTCGGGTGCCTTTTTCTTACACATGTGGCATACATACGGCGACATTGTAGGCAAAAATATAGTGAAAATATGCGATAAATTATTTCAACTGAAGTGTATGACATCTTGGAAGTCTTGGAAGTCGGGTGAGTACCTCCTGATCATGCGTACGTGGATCCTTGGATAATTGGACGGCCCGTCCTTACTGGTTGTGAGGGCCCCAGCATAATCTCCATTTTTCAGAGGTTAAGTCATTTGCCAGTTAAGTCATTGTCGTTCCCTGGAATCCTAAACTAGCCAAAGTCTGCCCCAGGTCGTCACCACCACAGGTAATCACAGTCCTTGCGGACCGGAGAGAGATTTGCCACCATGCGACTAGTTTAATATCGGGATGACGGCCGATCCTGGTATTGCGTTACTCTTAGCTGGGATTCCTGATGAAAACGCCGGACTCCTCATCTCGGAAGACCCGGGGTGATGAATCCCTCCGCTGTACATCGCAGCTTGTCACCCAGGAATGCCTCCCAGACACGATGATGCGGTAAACCGTTTGGAGAACGACACATATGGTAACAATTTTTGTAGCATTGGTAAGGTCACAATTTATTATAGACCAAAGGCGATAGATTGTCACATTTTTACAACACTATGTAATTTCAAAGTTACTGGAAATTCGAGCGTTGCTTTCACAGGGCATTTGGTTTTTAACTACCACCATTCACGTTTATGTATACAACACTTCCTGTCTTTAGATCATAGGCTCGTTTTCGTTTGCAACATGATCTCACTGACCGTGCACTATGTGAACCAGAACGAGGTGCGCGTAGCGCAATGGTTAGAGGTGCTGTGCTATATAAACGTTGTCATTGATTCACACGTGCAAATCAAACTTCGCATGGTCGATAACTTTGTAACAAATTTGCCTGAGCCAACACAGAACACCGACATGATGTATTGGTAGGCTCCTGGGAGTGATTTTATGGGTCAACATGCATTCAGTTATCTCTACGACGATTAATAGGGGTAAATGTATTCTCTATCCATTTCGGATTAACCGTTTAATCATGTGGGCAGAGCCAACTGACCGGCTCTGATGCGTATTGAGGACGAACGAAGATGCCCGTTCGAGTAACTCGACGTTTAGTAGTATCATCTATGGTGAGAAAAACTGTGACACTATCTGATAGCGCTGTTTACTAATACAATAACGTTAACAACAGAAACAAGTTTTCTATAACAGATGCACTACTTTGTACAGAACAGTCAAGTCCAATCAATATTTCCCAGTGGCTCTGTACAGTCGCTGTATCGAGTGCATGTCAACACGTGGAAGGCGCTGGATTCCGCTGGGGAACTTACTGAAAGTTGGCACTGATATCACGATATCACTAGGACTCATTGTTCTTATGGAAGTTTTGGCTTGTTTCCTATTATCTTAAAACTGGTAGGCTGTTTGAGAAGCCTACTTTCACTACTTCATGTAAACAGGTTTACAATGGACCTTCATAGAAATCGAAGCAGAGTACGTCAATCAACTTTTTTAACGACTTACCGATAATACTTATTCATGACAGACATTGACTTGCGTGAATGTCGGAGTCCGAGAAGGTGACCAATCTCGTGAATGAAAGCCTGAAGTTGAACATTTTAGTTGCGAAGTTACTCACTTTGATACTAAGATGGCCCGTCCTCACTGATTGTGCGGGCCTCAGCATAATCTCCACTTTTTCGGAGATTTGCTGGTTTAGCCGCTGTCGTTCCGCGGAATCTCGAGGCCAGCCAGGTCAGTCTGCTTCATGTCGTCACCACCACAGGTAGTCTCAGCCCTTGTGGATCAGAGAGAGACTTGTCACTATGCGACTTATTTGATACCAGGACGGTGGTGGAACCTGGTATTGGTTTACTATTAGTTGGGCTTCTTGATGGAAACACCGGACTCCTTTTCAACATGGGAGACCCTGCCAAGGGATGAATCCCCCGCTGTACATCGCAGCCCGACACCCAGGAACACCTCCTAGCCACGATGAGGCGGTAAACCGTTGGGAGGGTTGCGAAGTCATAAGAAATATATCAATACTCAGCAGTAGATAATAGGCATTGCTCTTTAATTAACACTGACGCTATCTCATTTGCGACAGTTACCTTTATAGAGTAATTTATCATCCAAACCCTTCACCAAATTACAAGAAAAGATATTCGGATAAGTTTTAGAATTAGTTGGAATTAAGTGCGCAAAGACGAGATATCACCTTTTCTTTGGAACAAGCAGTTATTCAATTCGATGGTTTTCCTCAATAAGCAGACACGAGGTTGTTATTATAGAATTTAGTGGGATACAACAGCTCACGTTTCGGCGGTTTCGCCTTCTTCAGAGCCTGGAAAGGTCAAATTGAGATGCGATCTACTCAGCCAAACACTTTCATAACTCCAGCAGATAAAACTTAACAAATAAATTTGTATTCGCATAAGAAACAGCTTCATTCAAACACCTACCGTTTATTTGTTGTAAGTATTTAAGTTAGATGATGGATAGCAGCCGCACAGAGTAATACATGGGAGAGGACTGTGCCTGTGTCAGGTCATTGGATTAGCCCGAAGTATGGCGCCAGGTCACGCGTGATGACAAGACACTCCTCGTTGCGGTTCATTTTTGAATCTTTGGAATCAATCCAAAACGCTTCGAGAGTTTTACGCGCTAATGTTTTCGATTCCTGCGTGAGGGCAGTGACTCCCACTTCAAAATCTTTCCCAATTTTTCAAATCAAATTCAATTTTCAATCAATCAATTTGACCTTTCCAGGCTCTGAAGAAGGCGAAACCGCCGAAACGTCAGCCATTGTATACCAATAAATTCTATAATACCAATTTCGTGTTTACTTATTGAAGAAAAACATCGAGTTATTAAATGGAGAACTTTTTATTTACTGCCCATCGTTTTTTCCATGTCAGGGTGAATATGAACATGAAGTGCAACCACAATGATGCCGAGATATTTGCAAAACTCAGACCTCACGCCAGATTCTAACCAGCGATTACTCTTTCCGATGATTCACATGTTACCTGTTAATCACTGAGGCCCTTACTCTGCCTTTCTCTCAACCGGTTTCTTACCCTAACGCTACTACCAGCAATCACCCGTCAATGGGAATGATCTATGAAGCAGAAATCGGCATTGAACGCAGTTAAGCTGAGGCTGTAGTCGAAATCACAATTGCTTAACTTTTCATCTACTACCCGTTATTTCTCATGGCAGGCTATTTTATGAAATAAAACCACAATGACGCTGAGACATACACAAAAGTGGCACTGCAGACCAGATTCGAACTCCGGATTACCCTTTCCGGTGGGCGCAGGTGCTACCCACTGCACCACTGAAGCCTTCGCTTTACCTTTTTCTCTGCTAGTTCTTTACTCTCTTCATCGCTGTGCTTTTATTTTACATAACACCCTGCAATGAAAAAATAATAGACGGTAAATAAAAAATTAAACATTATTCTAACGCTAATTGTATAGCCTCCAAACGGTTTACCGCTTAATCGTGGATGGGAGGTGTTCCTGGGTGTCGGACTGCGATGTACAGTGGGGGGATTCGACCGCCCAGCAGGGTCTCCCAAGCTGAGAAAGAGTCTGGCGTTCCCATCAGGAAGCCTAGCTAAGAGTAAACCAATACCAGGATTCGTCACCTTCCTGGTATCAAAGTCGCGTGGTGGCAAATCTCCCTCCGATCCACAAGAGCTACGATTGTCCGTGGTGGTGGAGACCTGGGGCGGACTTCGGCCAGGCTGACCTCGGGATTCCAAGGAGTCACAATGGCTTAACCACCAAATCTCCGAAAAATGGTGATTATGCTGGGGCCCGCACAACTAGTGATGACGGGCCGTTCAAGTATCAACTATCAAGTAATTATATGGCAGTATTAAAGAAGCTTTAAATTTCTATATATTACGAAGAACTTGCGATTACCTTGTGAGAGATTTCCTTTAATAGTATTATAGTGGTTAACTTACATAACGTAAATCAATCCCCGGGGATTCATCAAATGACCATTTCTCATCAGCATCCAGGTGCAACACACCGCTTGGTGGGTATCCAGAATGGGCGACCATTCCTCCCACACCATCGAAGGCCTAAAACTCTTTTTAAGTGAGGCGTTGATAAACAAATGTTTCTCGATGTTCGCCACATTAGTATTACATTAGTGGAATTTTACAATGTGTTCAGCTTCAGCACTACATAGCCAGAATGGTAAATATATATATTCATACTTTTTGCCCCCATATTTCTACGGTTCCTCCTTCATATTTGTTTCTTTTTTATGTTTTTTTTTGTGCGATTCACCATTACAAGCCCACTGGAGCCGCTAAGTTGCAAGAAAACATGAAGCTTCCTCAGATGGCGGCCTATGAAGGCTAAACGTTGTCCAGAAGTAACTTTGCCTTAACGTAGATATATCGGTAGATTCAGAGGATGGGATCCTTCCGTGTGTCATGCCAGGGTTAACTCATACCTGTTTTATACATACAATCATATCCATGAACATATATGCATTGCTTTGTGCTTTGAATGTTCGTAGGTTGATTCTCAACGAGTGGATAACCCCAACCGAAAACCCTAAGAAGATTGGCCTCATGTGGAAAATGTCACGTATTTCGTGTATCCCGTGAAAGGGCAGCCTACTGATCACTTCTAGAATGTGAATGGCACGAATATACACTGCCATTGTGTTTCTTTGCTTCGCTTGATGATTAATAAGACCACAACCAACATACGAGACCACTTAAAAGCTCTGGAAATAATAATTGCGTGAACACATTACATTTTCGATTTTTTTCTTCAAAAATGGTTCAAAAGTTGCTTGACGGAGACTTTTGCCCATGCATCAATAAAAAGGAAAGTGAAATAGGAACTGAACTCCATGTCTCCATGGTCTCCCTTGGCGAAGAAAATATCAATGTCCACATCGGAAGGTTTCCGAAAGTCGTTATCGTTGCTAATTGTGCGAGGAACTGGCTTGAATTTAACCCTTCCCTCTAGAGCTTCTTCCCACATTGCGAATGCCGTCAAAAGTAATGACCTGAATTAAAATTATGTTTTGATTAATCGCAACGGCAGACTAGTGTAAAGGTAAAATTGGAAGAGAATTTGAAATGTAGAGTGAAAAAAATAGAATAGAATCCTTGTTTTCCTATATCCCCTCAACAGTTTGCTGCCATAACGTGTCCGAGAGCCAACCGTTGGTGGCGAACTGTGGTGTACAGCTAGTCATGAAGACCACCTCAGCTGAATAGCTCTTTATTTCTATCCGGACTTCCAATTAAGAGTAAACGTATTCTATGACAGATCCCAGCAATCAATCAGTGGGCAGTTATTTGCGAAAACAGTAAAAAATGTGATACTTCCTAGTCTTGATATCTTGATAGGCCACCTCACTGAGTGAGAGCTTACTAGTTACCATTCGAGTTACATGATGACCAACAAGATTACGGACAGTGCAAATATGCTTTCAAAACTTAGAGAACATTCCCCAAATCTGGTGTGAGCAAAATGTTTCGTTTCAAGAAGTCAGTGGAAGTTTCTCAGAGGTGGGTGTCCATAAGAAATTTGAGAGGAAATAATTGGAAAGGAACTCCGATACATGAATGGCGCGAAAGAGACCTAATAAATAGTCTACGTTATATGCGATTATTTCTGATGTTGTTTTTTCTAAAGTTTACCTCGCGATTAGTCTTTTCTCTTCACTCAACAGCTTGAAAGGATCGCGAAATGTCCACCTGAGTGTTTTCTGACGCCATGTGCTGATCTTTTGTGGCTGGTATGCCCTAAAAACCGTTTAGTGTAGAATACTGTAGAGCGTCAGTTTTCCATTCCATTTGCTCAAGAATTGTACCATTTTAGTGATAAACACAATAGTTGAACCGGAATTTTATTTGATAATATTATGAAAGAATAAAGTGCGTTTGAAAATCTCTTAGTCTTCCAAAAAATGAGGTACAATCTAGTGAAAAGACCACCCGAACACAAAATACCACTCCACCTCGCTCAGCTGCCTCGTAGGAGGCTGCCTATTTGCCATTGAAATATAGCACGCATTGAACAGTGTTGTGTTTTCGTCAAAAGGCGGTAATTTCTCGATAACTAGAGGATTTAAAGGTCTAAGGACGTGACAGAGTTATGGAAGAGATTTTGCTCTATCACTCTAGGGAAATAAGTGTTGGTATAATGTAGTATTTTTTACTTACTGCTTATTCCTTTTTCAAGGCAATGTATTATGTGAGATATAACTACATGATGTTGAGGTTATGCAAAACTCTGGACCATAGGTGTCTGCGGTAGGGATAGGACCCACTCTTAGCTTTTCTGGAGGATAGCGCATTCACCACCACACCATGCGGATCCATCGTTTCGCCTTTCTTTCACCCGTATTTTAACCTATAGGTGTGGCGTTGCTGTAATATTATTATAGACTACCATCCAACCACATTGCTGCTAGCATTTGGTGTTGGAGTCTGTCCGGCTTCATCTATACCCTTTCATTTCATGTGTTAATTATTATTCAGCAAAACGAAATTAAAAATGGTAATAGAATAACAGTGGATAATGACAATGAAGAATTTGGAGGTCAATGTGTAACCTCTCATGTCACTTGTTTAAGAGCTTAATGTAAGTGGGTTAAAGAGCCAACGAAAGTGTTCACCCTTTCAAGACCATGCAAATTGGTTTCAAATCATTTCAAAATGTACGCCCCTGTATGTTTCAGACCGTATATCTTGATTTAAATGCGTATTTCTGTTGCTCTTCAGTGACACGCGCTGCGATGAGTTGACCACACGAAAATGGCCGCGTTCGTGAAAGGGCTGTTGGGGGGGGGGGGGGGGTTCCCCCNTGGGGGGGGGGGGGGGACTTCCTCCTTGCAAAGTTTTTTTCGGACGATGGAATGGTGTCGGTGGATATAAAAAACATGAAACAGACATGACAATACACTTAAACTACCACACAAAGCTATGTGGAGAGTTAATAACATCATGGTTAGATAATCGACAAATTTCTTATGATCACACATAAGAGGTCTTCAAGAACACGGGAAGATACACAAAAAAACAGGGAATATATAGAAGTTAAAGAGACATAGAAAAAATGTAAGGAAACTGAACAATAGAACGGTAGTCTTAAGAAGCCAGGGCATTGTGCCTCTTACGCGGGCTCTTGGACCGTACATGTTGATTTCAACGCGCATTCCGATTGAGCTTCCAATGGCACGCCATCCGACGAACCCGACGTACGAAAACGGTCGCGGTCGTGAAGGGGTTAAGACTGAAGTCATGGTTAGTGATTCATCGTCGTTCGAGGAAAGTTAATTTGATGTTAGCCAATAGTTACTGCCTTAGTGGACAGAACCTATAAATAAGGTTCTAGGTTCCATGTAAGGTTAGGTCATGGTACTAGCTGATAATGAAACCGACTTCTACAGGATGGATTATCCGGAAAAACAAGTGGTTATCACTGGACCAACACTGCAATCGATAACAACCGTCCTGTATAAAAGAGCATCGCAGGTGAATATGTCTCATTTGAGAGATGCTCCACCGAGGAAGATCACACTCGATGCCAAGACGAAGGCGTAACATCGAGAAGACGAACAACTGTGGACCATCGACTCCGATTAGTGGCTCTGAATAAGATGAAGACGTCGAAACGTTAGCCGAAATAAAACATTATTCATTAACCTCGGATAAGCTTATCGAAGAGGAAGAACCTATAGATTTTTATGGATTAATAGCACATAGTGGACGATTTGGACTTGTTGCATCCATTTTCAGTTCACTGGATTACAGAACATCGTTTCACACTATGTACATTCGATAGCTAATCAAAACTGGATTAATGCAGGAAAGGTCGGACCAGAAAAGTCTCCTCCCAGACTTAATGGCTAACAAAGAACCTCTCTTTAGAGAAGTTCATTTACTGGTAATCTCACTATCAGTTAACTATTAGATCATTTTAATCGCTGTGATGGATTATAAAAAATACCGAAAAAGATTCAACAAAAGGCTCAAAACCATTTGAAGTACTAAAAGCATTGTTTGCTTGATGCACCATAAAAATATACAGAAAATAACGGTACACCTACCATTCATATCCATACTACGACAGAGGAAAGTCTATTCTAGAACGCTGTCGTTTTCGCAACCCCTCAAGTGCTTTAGCTATCAAAAAAATATTGTTTATTATTTATTTATATGATCCTATAAACTGATCTTCTTTAGCTGATGCGAGGTTGGTATAGGTCTTCGTTGCCGTTGTCGCTGTTGTTGGTGTTGTTGGTCGATGGTTGAGTCCCACTCGTAACATCACGGCTCTGAGGAAGGCGAAATCGCCGAAACGTCAGCCATCGATAAAAAACACCAACAACAACGATAACGACAACGAAGACTTATACCAACCTCGCATCAGCTAAAGAAGATCAGTTTATAAGATCATATAGATAAATATGTCAACTATCTGTGCCGAGGTTTATAGAGAGTCGGTCTTTTGAGTTATTGTTTATTTCTTTAAAGAAACGAACGGGAAATATTGATCAATGTCGAAGTTGAAAGCGAGTATGTGGTTGGTTGAGAAGATTCACCTTTCTATGTCCTATAGTAGAAATCGATAGATCGCCAAAGTTGAGGGAACGTTGGAATTCTAGTCTTTCTCTTAGGTGTGATGCAGCTGCATCCCACATACTGGGAACAGGTAGACTCGAAAGTTTGCTGACAACGAAATGTATGACTGACAAAATACAAGATAAGTGACTAATCGGACCTATAAAATTGCAGCAGAGAGTAGGTAGAGTTGGGAATTATGCGTGCATTAACATATAAAAGAGTCCGTGGCATATAGAAGTTGGACTACCTTGCGTAGTATATACCTGCTTGATACTTGAATGGCCCATCCACACTGGCTGTGTGGGCCCCAGCATAATTTTCTTTTTTCGAAGATTTGCTGGTTAAGCCATTGTGATTCTCTGGAATCCCGAGGTCAGCCAGGTTATTTGCCTTAGGGTCGTCACCACAACAGGCAGTCGCAGCCCTTGTGGATCAGAGGGAGATTCGGTAAGCATGAGACTTTGACACCAGGACTGTAGTGGATCCTGGTATTAGTTTACTCTTAGCTAGGCTTCTTGATAGAAACGCCGTACTCCTTCTCAGCTTGGAAGACCCTGCCAGGGAATGAACCCTTCGCTGTGCATCCTACATCGAGGAACACCCAGCCACGATGACGCGGTGAACCGGTGGGAGATGCGTAGTATATATATATATATATATATATATACTCTATTAATTTTTACCTAATATTTATGAATTTTGTATATGCATAAAATGTAAACTGTAGATGGTGAGATCACTGTTCTTGAGCACAACATTTTAAGCATCGGTGAAAGGTTGTACTAAGGTTGGTAACTGTTTCTAAAGATGAATTGAGCTGAAGCAAAGCTGTGAGCACCTAATGACTCTGATGAGCTCTTCCCAATGATTCATCATCTTATGGTAGCGAAAAATTGCTCTTGTCTATTGGATTTCATTGATGATGCAAAGGCATTCCTGCGCCTCTTCACTGGCCGCACTCTCTATGTTGCATAGTCTGTTCAAAAGCAAAATTCTCCTGCTGCAAAATGATACCATCCAAAAATCTATTTTTAAGTGTAGAAGACAGCTTTCCATGGGCGACGCCTCACAGGACATCTGTCGGACCAGCTACTGAACAAATGCGAAAAGTGCGGCCGTCTCTAATTAAAAGTCGTCTCTAATCATGAGAGTTACGTAAGTGTACAACATATGCGGCGATGGACCATATCCTCACTAATAAAAAATGGCGCCTCCTCGACACATCGGTAACAACATCCTCTTCTTATCGCCTTTTCATGCGAAGATTCCATTGAGTCGCTAGCTGGAAGAGAATCTAAGTCAACGATCAGGGAAAGAAGTCGAGCTGTATATGACAAGAACATTGTAAACAAATCCTATCCAAACATGGGCAGCATATTGAGAAGGATTTGATCGAAAAATACGAGCTGCTCGGCTAAGGATTTAAAAGTTGCTCCAAATTTGCCTCGGTCCCTCAAGTGAGAAGATCAGATCGCATCTCTACTGCCGCTACGAAGATGCTCGAGACGAGAAGAAATTTGAGGGTTAATCCGTCTGCAGCACGCCTAATACGGTTAGTAATAAATGCCAGTTGCAGAAGAGCTTTGCAGAAAGGTCTATATCGGTACCAACAAAAGTAACTATGAGAAGCAGCGCAAAAATGAACCAGTCAGAAAAGTGCCATCGGGACTTGCACGATTATAATCAGCGACCGAACCTTAAGAACGAAGATGGGATCGCCAAAACCTTTCGATGTGGAATTGACAACGGAAAAACTGTACACCAACGTTTTCTGTCCGACAGTCCTCGTTATGATTCCTAAAATTATCGCTGAAAAAAAACCACTTGGAATTTTTATCTCTGAAGTTCGACTTGCGATGGAAATCATGAAAAAGCACAGCTCCAAAAACCACTTCTTTCACCGCCGACTTTCTTAGAGCTGAAAACCATAGTCTACATGTACTTCTCGTAACCTATGTACAACCTACATTCAGAAGGAAAAAATCTCATACTAGTGGAGGAAGTCGAGCACGCTATCATCCGATATGATTCTTGAGTGTTATTCTACAAGGTCCTATTCTGTTACGTATATCATTGAAATTCGACGAGGGAAAACTAGTTGAGCAAACAGGATTTCGACAAGGATTTTGCTTCATAGATTTCATCCATATAGTATCTACGGTCATCGAAGTTTTTTAGAATACCTCCTACACCAGGACCTCCATCAGAGGATCACGTGCTCATTAGTCGAGATCCAACGTGGTACGTTCCTAGACGGGCTGATAGGAAGTCAATCGCAGAACAAAAACGACCTTTGCCTCGCTGAGCCGCAGCCGCATTCTGGAGATCGACTTCCTGCTTCTGCTATGCCGATTTGGCACATATCTTCTGTATCTACAAGGACGTACTCATGCATGCGTGGTTGGGTATGCTCTGTTTTATGCGGATTATATTCCACGAGTCAATTAGGCTAGAAGTTTTCAATCGAGTAATATGGGAGGTGGTTAGGAGTCGTCTCCAACAAGCTACTCAGCTCCATGTTCGGAGCTAAGCAAGTGATACGGAGGTATAAAATGCTGAAGGCAGCAAAATAAACAGGTCTCATTCCCCTAACCCCGAAAAAGCTCCCGATACGGCAACGTTGGTTGGGACTGGGATGCTGCTAAGATCTCGGAGCCGTTCAAGGATACCTAAATCGCAAAGGATTAAAGTGAGGACCTTTGCCTGTAATCTACGCACACTTGCATCTGAGTCTCCCATAGGAGACTTGATCACGCAGGACAGAAGGGTAAAGTGAGACGTCATCGGACTAGCCGAGACGTGAAGATGCCACCCATTCAACGCTGCCCATGATACTAGCGAATTTCCTCGAAATATGAAGCAACAGATGAGTAGGCGGACATCGTAGGACATTTTCCTGAACACGAGTTTGGCTATGAATCTCAATTAATTCGAACAACTAGCAACCCGAATCGGACGCCTGCGGTTGTAGAGTTGTGGGTCAGTACCGGCTTTGACAATCTTAGTCTTTTAATACCAACACCAAGCTATGAGGAAGACGAAGTCGAAGCACGCTATATGGACTCGGATAAATTCCACAGAGAAGACCACACATTGCTCAAGTTTATCACCTGACACTTTAGCGGTAGGACTGGACCAGATAAACCTCTGAAGACCAACAAATTTGGGCCCACGGATTAGAATAGAACGAGCAAGGTGAGCGACTATCTGAATTTATCACAACGATCAAGACTATCCATGGAAACTCGCAATGCCAGAAGCCCCGTCCTCAACGATGGACGTGGGAGTTTCCCAACGGAGGGTGCCGTAACAAACTAGACCACATCGTAGCATATCGATAGCTTTGCTTAGCCGATGTCACTGTCGTCCCAAAATTCCTCACGGGATTAGACCATTGGCTCCCTCGAGCAAAATTTAAATTTCTCGCAGAAAGAGAAAAACTGTTAAATTCAAAAAACCAAGTATAAAAGCCACCATAAATTGGGATTTATTCAGTTCGTTAGTGAGCTGCCGAAAAGATCCCATTTTTGATAACATCGACGAGGAATACATTCGGCTGATTCAACTTCTTTACCTCAGAGCTATGAAAGGTGGGTGTTCGAAAGGCTCCAATGGACGTCTCTTCGTAAAAACACTTGAATTGATACGTCAACATCGAATCGAATGAATCACAGGCAACCCCCCACTGATTTTTGAATTTGCAAAACAGTGCATAAAGGCTATAAAAAATCTTTAAAAAGAATAGTAGCAGTTATGGTCGAATGTGAAGGGAAGAAAACATTAACAAAGCTCACCGAAACGGTAATTACATGACCGAGATGATTACACTTCAAATTCCAGATGGAACGGTTATGGCTTCCACAAAGGCAGCGGAAAAAATCATCCACGACTCTTACCCGAATTTCTTCAATAGCCACGCCTTGCTGCTCTCATATGAAATAAAGGAAGATGGATATGTCAAACTAGCAGTTCTCCCGTATGAAATCTGATATGCTGTTTCGTCGGTGAAGAATCGAAAGACAGATCCGACCAGAATAAAGTCTGAATACCTGAAGAACCCTCCGTCAATACTCGCAAACAAATTGGCTCAGCTTTTCACACATCACCGGTAAGAACGCAAGGTTTCTGGATGATAGAAAACCAACAAGACTGTACTATTGTTCAAGAAGGGAGAGTCCTCACGTATATCGGGAATTATCGTCCAATTTGCTTACTGTCTGTTCACCACAAAGCGTTCAGTCGCGTCACCAGAAATAGGATTGACAGAACACTGGACATAGAAGAACCATGTCAGTAAGCAAGCTTTAGAAAAGGATTCGGTACGATGGACTAAATCAACAAGGCTCGTTGAAGTATCTCGAGAGTACAAGAGACCGCTCTGTCCCACTTTCATCGATTAAAGGGAAGGTTTTGATTCAGTTGAGATAAGAGCAGTCATGCATGCCCTAGGTAGCCATTACATGCCTAATCAGAATATAAAGAACCTTCTTGAGTTATATAAAATTTTCTCAGACGAAACATGTCCATTTTGCAGCGATACTTTAACATCAACGTTATAAGAAGGGTTAGGCTAGGCGATAGTATCTTATCGAAATTTTTTATCTTCACATTGGGTAACGTGATGTGATCATTGAAATGAGACAGTATGGAAGTGAATACTGATGGTCGGGAATTAGACAATCTTCTCTTTTCTATAACATAGTTCTTATAATGTCAAGCATGTGCCAAACGGAAAAAGTGCTTCGATAACACTTGTTGAAAGATTGAGCCTTGATTGCCTCTCACAAAGACGATGTTCATAAAGAACGGATTGGTTTTTATGTTGTGTGCCATATCTACGACCAACAGAGTAAATGTCTCCGAATGTTCCAGCTACACCTATCTGGATCGAGAAATCAGCGTAATGAGCGACTTAGCTCCAGAGTCGAGAAGGAGGAATCGAGTGGCTTGAAGAGAGTTCAAGAGCACCGAGGATTAGTGAAAACAATAAAGAACACCCGATTCACGATTTTTCCTGTCTGAGCGCATTATAGCTATCAGAAACCTGGTTGTGCGCAAGCAGAATGCGAGCTCAGTCAACGTTGTGGAACTCGCTGTCGAAAGGACAATACTAGAAGTCTTAGCCACATCACGCAAGTGATGGAAGAGATCCGATACTCCGATCTACTTTAACGATTTAGAATCAAGGACGCTATTTCATACGCCAGTTTGTCGATGATAAACCGGCCCGGGCACGTGATGCGTATAAACCACAACCGATGGACAAAACCCGCTAGTGACTGGATTCCTCGAGATTTCCAACGTAGTGCAGGAAGGTGACCGACCCGATGGTCAGAGTTTTTCACAAATGTCCAAGACAAAAGATATGATGAGCAACGAATCCTCAGAGCGAGCAGAACTCGTTGGGCTAATCTTGCACCGATGAAGATAAATGGAAAGTTTACTTGGCTCACGCTCAAGTCATTTGTCGATTATAGGAACGACAAAAGATACACCTAGATAGGAAAATTCTTCTTATGCTCATATCTCATACCACGCATCAACTTTTTATAGTTTATAGTCCTTAAAAAATCGAAAAAAAATGAGGAAGACTTTGTTGGAATTTTACTGCTTTTTAAATAACAAGAAGAGTCACCGGGTGTGGAGTACTGTGGTAAGGAACGTCGACTTATGATTTAGCAGATTCAGATAACCTTGCGAGGGATTAATAATAAAAGGATAAAGCTCTCGGCATTGATCAATCCCTGAGGGATGCGCCGTGCATTCGACTTCATTAAGTATCGTTGGAGGTGCATGAATGCATATCTGGCCTTTACAATTACTCGCGGTGGCCTACCGATGTATCGAGCCAGTGCTGCTATTCTCCCAGACAAGTCTGGTACCAATTCGTCGACTCCGGGGGTATGGACACTTTGGTGAGCCATGGGCGGGGGGATCGATTCGTCGTGTGTGTCGCAGTGGCACCTCCAACCACTGCGCCACGCACACCCTTGCAAGGGATTATTATTCGGGAATAAAGACGCGTTTTGAAAGACTGCAGCCCTTTGTCTATGAAGAGGGTCTGAAAACTTTATTAGATGTAATTGCTGTTACTTTAACGTCGCAAGGCATATGAAAGTCCAGTAAGAATAAATTGCCTTCGAACTATTTTCTAATGCGTTTTGCAACTTTATTCTTGCAGAATTAAGTAGGCTGTGGTATAATATTTCGAACCGAATCGCTACTTGACGAATAAAAGTGATACCGTAGCTCATCGAAAATTACGAAGATCACAGAACACTTCCAGAATGCTGGACATCTGCTTACTTCCATAAACAGCTGTGATTATGAACAACAGTAAAGGATTGCTTTTCTACTGCGGAAGGCCGCAACTGCGGCGATCACAGGCCTGTCGGGCAGTGTTCGTAAGTAGTAAGAAGGTCGTTTCATTACTAATTCCCTATCAACATCACGAGGAAATGTACTTCAGAAAAGATCCTGGGCAAGAAGCCTTGCATGAGGCAGCGACGATTATAAAGAACAACATCATAAACAGTAATAATAATGACGAAAAGTAATTGGAATGATTAGTAAAGTAACGAAAATCTTCTGCTCACTACAAAGTACGAAATCTCAAACGCAATGAAATGATAGTCTAACCTATTTAGTGCGACCAGAAGCAGCAGCATTAGAAATAGTAGTATCGGAACACTGTTCATGGTGCTTGTATCGATGGACGAAAACCGGATGATCGCTGGAATTCACGAGGAATGCGGGGAGAACTGGCTTGAGAGATATGTCAGCCATCTAAAAACCAGTGTGGAAAACTTGAATTCGAAAATGGATTAATGTTAAGAGCATCCTTTTCACGATATCCCACTGCAAATTAGTGAGAGTGATCTTGTCAGATAATTTCCAATATTATGCAGGGTAAGGGGAGCGTGTAGCGCAGTAGTTAGGGGTGCCCTACAGTGCTCATGGGATCGATTGCTGCGCCCCTGGCCCACCAAGTCCTCGGTACCTCCGGAGTCGGCAAATTGGTACTAGGCTTATCTGAGATGACGGCAGCACTGACTCGATGTATCGATAAGTACCAGCGATTCATTGTACAGGCCAGATGTGCATTAAATTACCTCTAAAGATGTTATACCTTTTTATTTTCTGCCTACTATAATTTCGCGGCAGGGTACTAAGCGAAATACAACCACAACGTTGCTGGGATACTTGCAAAACTCTAGACCGCAGGTGTCTATGGTGGGGAAAGAAAGCGCTATTGTCCTTTCAGGGGAGAAAATAAAAAGGTATAACATTGTGATTTCAACTACAGCCTCAGCTTAACTGGGTTCCATGCCGATTTAGGCGCTCCAGATCAATCCCGCTGACGGGTGATTGCTGTGGCAAAAACCGATAGAAATAGCCGAGAGACAGGCGAAACAAAGGACCCGCATGGTGTGGTGGTGAACGCGTTACTCCCCGGAAAGGACTATAGCACGTTCGTTCCTCACCATAGATACCTGTGGTCCAGAGTGTTGCAAATATCTCAGCAACGTTGTACCTCTAAAGATACTTAATGAAGTCGAATGCGTGACACATCCCTCAGAGATCTAGCAACGCCTAGAGCTTTTTCCTTCACCCGTTTCTCTGCAGGAGGACTTCCCACTTACCAAAATGTTCACTTTAACGCTACTGCTTGAATGTTCACGCTTGGTGCACTCACTCACCTGTCAATTGTCACCCCGTTGGTCGTCGAGTGAGCCAAGCGAAGACCTGCACGTCTTCCGTACATATTCCACTTTTCTCTGTCGTGTGCAAGAGTAGGTCAGTAAGCCTTGTTTTCTCTAAGAATTTTTTTGAACATCGCTTCTTTCTTCTAGGGTTTTCGTGATAAGTTCTGACAATCGGGTCCGCTGTCATCCACTGTGGGTTTGACATCCCGAGCAATCCATTCACTAACTGCTCATGTCCGTCGGTTGCTGTTTATACGCGCTACGTATCCGGCCCATTTTATCATGGTCTAATCGACGTTAAGAATGGTGTCTTTAATTTTTGATCACTGACGAACGTCGGAGATCCGAATTCGCTCTACTACCTGCGTGGTATGAGATACTTGTTGCACTGTCCTTCAGATAGAACATTCTATAACGATGAGCGCACGTTGCAACTAGGTCTCTGACGCATACATTAAAGCAGAGAGATTGTGGAGTCAAGAAGAAGGGCACGGTTTACCATGTTCTTTGCTCTCTTCACTACAACTTTAATGGTCTTTAAAGCTTTCAAAGTCAATCGCTTCCTTCTTCTCGGCTCTGGAGCTAAGTCATAATGACTAGTCATAATGAATAGAGTATAATGACTTCTCTATCCAGATAGACGTGGCTGAAGCATTCCGAGATCTTTCCGTTGAGCGTGAATCAAGCACACAAAATCAATCCGTCCTTAGCAAACATCGTTTTTGTGGCATTTAGTCGATGAGCAATCTTTCCATAAGAGTAATAAAAGTAAGCTATCATTCGTTTTGCCTACTGTGTTACATTATGTGTTATAAAAACGATGCTGTCAGCAAAGCGAAGATGGTGTGATTGCCGACCACCGATTTTCATTCCTTTCACGATATCTCATTTCGATGTTCACATGATCTCGAAGGCGTCAATAAATAATTTTGGCGGGATGGTTTCGCGGTGCCTAGTCCCCTTTAGACGTCGATATAAACATCGTTGTTAATGGGAAGTTTTGATTGCAAAATATTTGTATAGCTCATAAAAAAGGGATAAAGCTCTCAGCGTTGATTGATCCCTGAGGGATGCGCCGTGTATTCTACTTCATTAAGTATCGTTGGAGATGATTGAATGCATATCTGGCCTTTGCAATGACGCAGTGGTACACCGATGTATCGAGCCAGTGCTGCTATCCTACCAGACAAGTTTGGCACCAATTCGCCGACCCCGTTGAAATGGAAGGCTTGAGGAGCCATGGGCACTGGGATCGATTTCACGTGTGTGTCGCAGTGGCGCCCCCAACCACTGCGTTGGAGGTGTGGCGTATAGCTCATGAACAATCTTTATATACTGAGTAGGCACACACTGACTGCCCTAGACTTTCAAGACTGCTTCTATCTCAGCTGAGCTAAAACCTTCTCTTAAATCGATAAAGGTGAGACAGAGCGGTCTCTTGCATTCTCATGATTCTTCAGTGAGTCTTGTTATCGTTTGGATGCGGTTCCGTGTACTGAATTGGTTCCGAAACTCATTTGCTCACAAGGCTGCCTTTTCCCCAGTGTTCTGCCAATTTTGTTTAGGATGAATTGAGTGAAGAGTCTGTAGGCTGTAGGCTGCAAGCAGATTGGGCGATAGTTGACGACCTCGTGGAGGTCACCATTCTTCATCAACAATGCTACCTTGCTGGTCTTCCATTTAATAGCATTCTTACATTCTGACAGGTCCCGAGCAGATGACTGTGCTCATAAGCAATGGTGGAAAGTTCTTCAGGTGCTCAGGTCTTGTCCTTTCGAGAACAATTAAGTATTTTGCGATACTTTTCCAACGAAATAGCACAGCGGACTTCAAGAGAGAAAATCTTTTCTATTTGCAACGACCAAAGCAGGACATGGCTATTGAAGCGGTCGGAGCAGTAATAGCAACGAACGATTTTCTCCGCTGCTTCATAGGAAGGCTGCGTAATCGAACCAAGCGCGATTTCGCCAGCAACTCGTAGTGTCTTTTTCGCAAGTGAATCACGGCCTCATAGTGTTACTGTGCCTAGCACACGAATTAAAACTTCAGGATCCAGCAACTCCTGTTGCTGAAATCAAAGCGGAAGCTGTTAGCCGCTACACGAAAGGACTAATCGCGGCTGTCGCACGATCTCCTCGAGAAAGTGAAGGAAAACACGACTGAATGAGATTATGAGACTTAGAGATTCCTAGGGATTGCATCCGTTTGAACACAACCCTAATTTTTCTGGCGAGTAACTTTCGTTGCTGCATTCCTTGTCCATGGTGTTAATGTTACACCATATGGTCAATCACTTTTTTTTGCACAAATTCGTCGCTACGAATAGTAAAACAGTTGCACAACAAAAAGAATTCGAGACTGAGATGGTTTCCATCCGAAAGCGCACAAACCAAAATCCGAGCTTCTCACAAGATTGGAACTTTTCTTGGTGAAATCAAAGCGCAAGGTGTTAACCTCTACACCGCAAGACCAATCGCAATTGTTGCAAGATCTCTTGGTGGAAATTGTGAAACAGATGAAAGAAAAGAATTTGATAAGAACCCTTATAGATTACTGAAGATTGCATCCGCCGAATTGCAACTCAAAACTTGTGGTTTCAGAGAACTAGGATCTCGTATTACTGGATTCAACGCGTCGTGTGTTAACTGCAATAGTACAGGACCAATCGCGCTTGTTGCACGGTGTCGTGGTGAAAGTTATGAAAGAAACGATTGGACAAGGCGATTTAGAGATTTCCAGAGCTTGAACAGAAATCAAAAGTGGATCTGGCGAGTTTGGATTTCGTATTTCTGGAATCGAATCGCAAGATATTAACCTCAACGCGACGGGAACATTCTTTTTGTTGTACGTTCTCACAGGTCATCGTGAAAAGAACGGTTGCATAAAAAAATTTTAGATCACTAAGGTTTGTGTGAAAAGGGCGTTGGCGCAGTGGTTGGAGGAGTCCTGCAACAAACACGAGGTCGATCCCCGTACTCCAAGACCACCAAGCCCTCAGTCTCCGCGAGGTCGGCAAATTGGTGCCAGACTTGCCTGGTAAGATAGCAGGGCTGAGTCGATAGTTGCTGGTCCACCAGGAGCCATTGTAAATACAAGATTTGTCTTCATTAACCTCCAACGGTGCTTGCTGAAGCCGAATGCATGGCGTATTCTTTAGGGATTGATAAACGCCGTGAACTTTATCTTTTCTTAACGACTGCATCCGCTGAAATGCTTCGTTCCCTGCATGCATGGATAACTCGTCTTCACTCTTCGTGCGGGCCCCACCATGTATTAGTTTTCCGCAATCATCGTCCATAGAGGTCGTCCTGCTTCGAACATAGCGACGTCTGCAACGTCAGCTTCGTAATACTGAAATTTTTTTCTATTTGTGAGTCCAAATGGTTGGCTCTGGCCGCGAGCACGTCCGCCCATCTTTTCAGTGTTCCTCCAAGAGGACGTTTGCATTTTCTTGCAGTCACTCCACTTCTTTTTTCTTCCATCTATTATCTGTTACCCTAAATATGCCACCGGACTTCTGTGTTTCTCTATTGTTGTGTTTTCCTTGGTCAAGAAGATTGAACTGGTTTCAAGGAACCGAGCTGCGCATTCCATTTAGACAATATGCGTGACGGTTAAATTTCGGAATACGACGTCGTTCAAGCGCCTTGTGGAACAGAGCGCTGGATGAGCTACTGAATCGAAAGGTGAGTGCGGAGTTTTTGGTTCGTTTGCTTTTCGGTGGCTTTTTTGAGTGGTCCAAATGCGGCCCATGCCGCTTTCCTTTTCCTCTCTGATACTTCCTCCATGTTGTTTCCCACGCTCGTTGAGCGTCCAAGGTACACGAACAAGGTGATTTCCGTAATCACAAAACCAACCAGTTCGCTTTTTCAACTTCACAACGTGGGTTCTTCATGAACTGAATCCTCGTCCAATTTATGAGCAGTCCAAAATTTTTTCCCGCTTCGTTGAGTTCATTGGGCAACGCCTCTGCTTCACTGATACTCATTGAAAAAATGATGATGTTATCGTAAAACGAAGATTTGATGTGAATTTTCCATCACAACGAATGCCTTTCTCGTCCCAGTCGAGTGACTTCATTGCCCACTGCACTGCGGCAGTAAACAGCTCTCGCGGAGTCACTGACGGACTCACTGTAGGTCCTCTAGTGTAGCGGTGAACACCCTGGACTTGGAATCCGGTAACGCGAGTTCGAATCTCGCCGGGACTTCCAGTTTTGATCTGTGTGCTTGTATTTCTGCGAGTCTCTCAGTGTTGCTAGTATCGATCCACCATCGACATCGAATCTACGACCTTCCGCGGGATCACTGCGGGTCCCGTAGTGTAGCGGTAAACACCCTGGACTTTGAATCCAGTAACACGAGTTCGAATCTCGCCGGGTTCTCGAGTTC